AAACACAATGTTCAATCCCCCCAATCGAACGTGAAACCTGCGAGTAGACGATAGACAGGAAGCCGTAGACATTTTACCGAAAGGGGCTCGTATGCGACCGTGATGAGTGCTCGAAGTGCTGGTATCGTGAGATAACCAGTCCAACGAAACGAGACGCAAACAAGTTATCCGCCACGCAACACCTAACAGACCTCAACACCAAAGACCCCAGGAACTACTGAGCGAACTCAGATATCTCCCCCAGAATCCAAGGCATCAAGGCCCATCATGATGGCAAAAGAAACGCTCGGGGCGAAGCGACGGCAAGGACGAGGAAAAGTACTTAGAACAAAGCGTGAAGAACCTATCTTCCTCTACCGCATCGGCCTCCTTATATAGTGTTCTTCCCGCCTTTAGTCATATGACCTAAAGTGGTCACATGTGCGAAACTAAATCATAACAAACTAGTCATATGACCAAAGTGATCACATACTCAAAACCCATGACCTCATAATGAGGTCATGTGCGAAACATAAATCATATGCGCAAGGTGTAACGTGTTCGCAAGGTGCTAATCACGTTATCGGTAAAAGATACGATAGTTGGCAGGCGGCCTGCTCTTCCAGAGAGGAGGCGAGAACTGAGAACGAAAGGAGGCTTCGAGGGTGTACTGAGGAACAAAGAAGTAACCGTTCAACCAAGTATATTGAAATACTGTCTGTCGAAGTCTGCCTTTTCTATCGTAGAAACAGGCGGTCTTTAAATACACAAATCCGTTCATGTCTAGCATGAACGAAACTAATCAAAGGTATCAATTGATACTCTTTGGTAAAACTCCTTAAGTATCAAAAACAATACTTAAAACAAAACATAAAGCAAAACCAAGTATCAAAGCGATACTTAAAACAAAACATAAAACAAAACTAAGTATCAAACGATACTTAAAACAAACCAAGTATCAAAGCGATACTTAAAACAAAACATAAAACAAAACCAAGTATCAAACGATACTTAAAACAAACCAAGTATCAAAGCGATACTTAAAACAAAACATAAAACAAAACCAAGTATCAAACGATACTTAAAACAAACCAAGTATCAAAGCGATACTTAAAACAAAACATAAAACAAAACCAAGTATCAAACGATACTTAAAACAAACCAAGTATCAAAGCGATACTTAAAACAAAACATAAAACAAAACCAATAACCGAGTACCCGTACCGGTTACACAAGGCTTACCCGTAAGGCACACTCGTAAGGCATACTCATCAGGCGCATGTCCCATGACTCATACTTGAGCCATGTGCGAAAGCATCACAAGTCCCACACATAACAAATCATATAACCCAAATAGGTCATATGCGTGAAACAATAACATACCTGTGACTCATAACCATGTGTCACGTGAAAACCCTTTCCTCGCTAAGCCACGTTCGTGACAGAAGCGGACAACAAGTTCAATAGGCTTCAGAGGTCTATATGCTTGGCAAGACGGGAACTATTGAAGCTTGGGGAAAGAGCCTGATAGGACTCAGGCTTAGAGGGAGAGGAACTAATGTCATGAATGTGGCTTGGCAAGAAAAAGGTTTTCACATGACATATGGTTATGAGTCACAGGTATGTTATTGTTTTACATATATGACTCATTCGAGTTATATGATATATTATGTATGGGATTTTTAATGCTTTCACACATGGCTCAGATATGAGTCATAGGACGTGCGCCTGATGAGTATGCCTTGCAAGTGTGCCTTGTGAGTATGCCTTGCATAAATGATTTATATTTCACACATGACCTCATTATGAGGTCATGGGTTTCACGCATATGACTCAGACAAGTCATATGACTTGTTTATTATGTTATAATTGGTTTATGAGTTTTTGCACATGACCTCACTATGAGGTCATGGGTTTTGAGCATGTGACTACTTTGGTCACATGACTAGTTTGTTATGATTTGGTTTTGCACATGTGACCACTTTGAATCACATGACTACAGGCAGGAAGAATACTATATAAGGAGGCCGATGCGGCCAAGGAGGCTAGGTTCTTCACACTTTATTCTAAGTACTTTTTCTACTTATTTCTTTAACTAATATAAAACACTTTTACGATCTTTATCTTTATTGCGATGTTATCATTATGCCAAGGAAAGTTCATCAAGAAGAAGAGTTAGAGAAAGCTTACAATAGGCGTTCCCGATACAAGACAAAGGTCTTGTACTATCAGTAAAGTAGGCAGAGGCCTAGTGCTATCGTAAGACTAAGAAAAGAAACAGAAGAAGAGAAGTATCGTTCCCCGTCGCCAAGAGCTAACAATCCGAGGAGGGATTGTTACAATACCAGGAAAAGCATGGAAACTGAAAAAGGCCATATATGGTTTGAAACAACTACCTTGCCTATAGTACCAATGTCTAATGAAGGCTCTCAAATTCCTAAATCTCAAAGTTACTGATTTCAACTCCTGTATACTCACGTCAGAAGACCTATTCTGCTGTATATATATTGATAATATTCTGATAACCGGAAAACCTAAGTTAGTAAAAGAAGTATTCACGAGCTCCAATCCCAGTTCCAGTGTACCAACTTGGGACAAGCATCATAATTACTCAGCATGCAAATTGAAACAACAACTAATCATATTAAGATCTACCTAGAACATATATATAAGCGAGTTGCTAGAATGTTTTGACATGACCGAAGCTAAACCATATACAACTCCAATCAAACTACATATAACACAGATGAAGGCTACCAATAACGAAGAATTGTATGAACAGCCGGCATACCAGTCCATAATAGGATCCTTGATGTATACCACTATTGTGACACAACTAGATATTGCACATGGCACTGCCTTCCTAAGTCAATTCTCCTCGAAACCTACAATTACTTACCTTAAAGCCGTCAAAAGTGTACTACGATATCTTAAAGGAACGAAACCTACAGATCTACAATACATCTACAGTACAAGCAACACACCACTTCAGCTATATAGCGATGCATCGGTTGCCTCAAACCTTGAAGACAGAAAGTTATTTACTAGATTAATCGTTCAAATGTATAGTCATACAGTAATCTGCCATTCGAAGAAATAAAAAATCATTAGCACCTCAACCACGAAAGCCGAGTATATTGCACTCGCCTTTGCAGCAAGACAAAGCATATGGTTAAGAAGTGGAATGTCACATATGGAAATCAACACTGTACTGACTATCCATTGTGACAATACAGCCACTATAAAGTTAACTGAAAACGCTGACATATCCAATTGAATAAAACATATCAATGTACCACATCATTATATGAGGGAGTTGAAGGAAAACAGAGAAATTGAGGTAAAAAGAGTTGATATGAAGAACAACTTGGCAGATATATGTACAAAGGGATTGGTTAGTGTGTTATTTGAAAGTTTTCTGGTTAGATTAGGAATGGAACTGTAGGAGAAGTGTTGGAAATTACGTTATTCCTTTCCTATCTGGTGATGGGACTGTGTTGGTCATGTGACACAGCCACATGACCAAGTATATACACTATTGTATTCTAGCAGCTTCTAGAGATTTTCTTAGTGTGAGGTAGTACTCGTGTAATAATAAAGGTGTATATAAAGAGCAGGTTCAGCCCTGTTCTTAGAGAGAATGTGCAAGCTTGGATTAATCTTTAAGTCTTCAGATTTTATTGTAGTTATCATTGTTACTTCGTTATCATAATAGTTAGTATAATAGATACAAATATTCTCACTCCTACTCGCCTGCAGCCCTAGCGATGATTCAGTTTCTGTGTACCAAGTTCATGTGGCAATGGTGCTCTGCTGAACGGCCAATTCTCACCTCAACTATATTCGACCCACTGGTGTGATTTCTTAGGTCTACATGAGAGAGGATTTATAATTAGAATTGGTTCTTCAATAAAATAGTTTCATGGAACAGTTCTTTCTTTCTCTTTCTTGTATAGTTCAAGAACATCAAAATGTGTACCAGACCTTAAATTTTCAAATTCTATAGGCTCTATTACTACAAACAATTTTTTTTAAAAAAAAACCTGTTTATAAAAGATAAGGTAATAGATAATAATAAACAGGTTTTTTTTTTTTACAATAAGATTTGTCGTTGTAGAACCTATAGAATTTGAAATCTTAAGGTCTGGTATTATACACATTTTGATGTTCTTGAACCATAAGCTCTTTCCCCTTTGCTTCCCTTTCATGATGGGAAGAGAGGAGGATGAAAGAGAGACTATTGTAAAGGGATTTTGTGATCTAGAACTTTGTGATATTTTGGGTTATTCAAACTGCCATCTGAGCTGTTAGAGTTTACTCTCGGGTTAGGGAATCGGTGAATTTAAGGGATGTTTGGCAAACATGATTTGAAAATACATGCTTAAACCCTAAAACTGTAATTTCCCAAAATCACAATTTGAAAACATATGCTGCCAAACACCTCTTAACTGAATCCTGATTTCACATATAACATAGGTTTTTCATAATAGTATTAGTATATCACTTTTGAATTTTCAGTATACAATAATATTATATTATATTTAAAAGGAGAATAAAGTATGATTAAATAATAATTATAAATTAATTGTTTCTAAGATATTGTTACAAAAGTCCATATGAGAGAAGGAGGATTATCTCTAATTACCTTCTCTGTACTGATCAGCTTCTTTTATTATTCCTCTAAATAGACAAGCTAAACTTATATAAGTTGTTAATATACATGTAGCCCTAAATGTCAATCATCTAAATCACACTTACAAAACCTAGATCAAGTTACACTTTCAAATCATGATTTCAAATCACGTTGCCAAACACTCTGTGATTTCAGGTCATGATTTGGTTGCAAATCGTGATTTCAAAACCAAATCATGTTTGCCAAACACCCCCTTACCAATCGTCCTCCGTTGTTGTGGCTTGGTTGGGGACCTTCTTGGAACAGGTATAGGAGCACGTGACTAGTGCAAACTCTTGAGAGGTTACCCTATCGCTAAGCTTTGTGTTCAAGGCGCCAAACACGAACAACACGTCTTCCTCAACTCCCCCGACCCCCCTCTATCGACAGTTACCATTTCCACATCGTGCACAGTTCCCACACCTCACAGTATTTCTCATAGGATCTGACATAACCAGCATGGATTACTCTTCTACCTTTAACCCTCTCTTTAATTCAGCCACCACAACCGCCAATAACTCGACATTCGCAAACTCTGTGTTCGACGCCTCAGTCACGATCCCGGATTTCACCAAAGAGAAAAAGTTCACAGAGTGGCACAAAAAGCAAGGGATCCCGGCTCCTCAGGATTATCCTTCGTTTGCAAATCAGCCAGCGCCGTTTTCTGCCCTACGGCAAAACCCGAATGTACCGACCGCTGCCTCCTCATATATCCATAAGGTTTCCACTCTTCAACCCGCGACTGATGCAAGGGCCTCTTTGGTATGCCTCTTCCTTCTCTAACGCTATATATCTGCATCGTACTAATAGTTTGTCTGCACAGCTTGAGGCAGATGCACATGGTGGCCTTAATGAACCTTTGGAAGGAAGGAGAAAGTCAACGTATATTACCAACAACCAACATTTCAAGCCTCAGCACTGACACAGGTTATAGACTCAAAAAGACACTATCGTCATCGCCTCCAGGCTCCCCCAGTGGCCACTGGCCCAGAAACACCTTTGGATCTCGTCCGTAAGTTGGCTTTGCTTCTTGCCCGCCCCAACCTAAGCTTACTGTTCAGAATAAGTCGAACACGCAACCGTTCGTCGTCCATGACAGATGATCAGCCTCTGCATGCTGCCGATACAAATGCGCCTCCTTTGCTCTCGATATACGATTCCATGCCCTTTGATCCCACTCCGTTGGAGTTAAAACCCGCCGATGCGACATTTACTCCAACACAAGTTCGGGTCGCAAACTTTTCCGAAGACAGGTTTCCGGACCTTATTCGTTCGTTACGTCGATACTACGGAGTTATATTAGAACCTTATTCCGGACTCCCAGCAAACGAGAGCAAGTTTCATGATCCCGACATTGTTCCGCGTGAACAGTTGGACGCGAAGACATTACGGAAGACACAGCCTCTTGCGGGCGCGGATGGAGGCCCTGGGCATTGGGTCAGAATCACCTTTGGAGAACGCGAAGCTGCCGAACGCGCCGTTGCAGGGTCGGCAAAAGGTGAATTGGTGATTGGTGGAAGGACAATTATTATCACCCTCTGGACTGAGGACCCGATCATTGACAACCCCTTACCCAATACATCTTCTCAAATGGATATTGATCCTCCTCCCACACCACTTAGACGAAGCAGCTCTCAGTCCCTAGCTTCGCCGCGATCTTTGAGGAGGTTACCCACGGGTTTTGAGGAGTCTGCCCCAGGTGGTGGTGAAGGGGGTAATGTCTACTCAGAACACATGCCCGGGGCCAAAATCATTGTGCCGAAACCTGTAGAATTCGCAAAGAATGAAGGCTGGTTCAGTGGACTGGCGGGGTCGCTTGTGAGCGGACCGAAGGCGGTAGTTGCTGGGGGGCAGAGAGGGCAAGGAGGTGGGTGGAGCCTCCCCAGTGTGTATGGATACGTCATGGATGACCTCGTCGGATTGAAGAGATTGTAAAAGAGGTTTCATTTCTTATGTTGAAGGTTTAAAGGTCTAGATATGTTTAACAGTGTACACAATAGTAATGTATACCCTATGCGGTATTCGAATGAAATACTCCTATTTTATTTTATTTATTTTTTATTTCCCTTTTATCTTCCCCTTAATACATCACTCTTAAGTAGTGCGGTAGTACCGCAAATATTATGAGGGATCGTCATCATCCCAATCCATACGGACATCCGAACACACCCTTGCTCCATCCATCAGCGGGCCGACGTCCCCGGACCAATTCTGCACACAGCATGCGGGAGATGGGCGATGGGGGGCTCCAGGTAAACCCCGGAAGAATAAAAAGGGCAAAAAAAAAAAATTAAAGAGAAAAAGGATCCCTCCCACAGCTCAGATGGAGTTAGTTGTGAAATAGCCCACCCTTCCCAAACCCACCGTCAACACGTATGCACACAGCACACCTGCCAAGTAGAGCAACCTCAACTAAGGAAACCGATAGAATCCCCCCCGCGGAGGGGGAGGGGGGTCAATCGATCAATTATGCCCCTCCCTACTTTCTCACTCACTCCAAACCCCGAGCGAACAAGCGCCCGGTTGTGCGTTTTCGGCGGATGCATGATGATAGGATGGCAGAGTAGTCGCCCCCAGGCGGTTTATGATAAATATCTGGTTCATCACGGCTCGGCGATAGTTGGAAGTGTAAGTGATAGTGCGTGATGGGATCTGGAATGGGTCTTTTTTTTTTTCATGTATGTATGCCGGGTTACTCTTAGAGACTCTAGGAGGAAACTGCGATATCATACTTATTAGTAACGGGCTTATGTCCATCATGCAAAACGGATAGTTCTTTTCGGGTTACATGTCCACGAGGGGGTATTCTTTTTTCTTTCTTTTTTTCTTTTTCCCCCACCCCTTTCCAACGTTCCAACGTGGGTTTTGTGCGCTTGTATGATACCGATGGATCGGTGGATGGATAGTTGGCGGTAGTGAGTGCCATCTGGAATATACGGCGGGTGGGAAGATGCCCGCTGCCGGCGTTGGTTATAGCAAGCCACTGACAAGCCCCCCCGTAGGGAAATGGCAAGTGCTTATAAGGACCCACATCCGCGCCTGTTCGTGCCTCCGGGCAATTACCAGGTTTACTGGAATGTTGGTGTAGGCAGGACCTGACGCCCTGCGCAATATATGTATAAATCTGCATACCGCTCCTCAGAACTTTTTTTCTACCGGCGGTACTCGTACAACGCTGGAAAAGAGTGGAAAGATTAAAGCACACTTGGGGGAGCGCTCCGGATTTGTTATGGTCCCATCCTGGACAATCCTGTGCTCGCGATTGGTAGAAGGGGGGTTAAGTGGTGCGATCGGCTGAACTGCGACGGCCTAGCACATTGCGGCAGATCTTGAGGCTCGTACGAGGATTGATCAGAAGACCGTTGTTCTATGCGCCGCGGGTGCGGTGAGGAAAGGTACCTGCACGAGTGTCGTAACAAGCGGTGGGCGATCGGGTATGGATGCCTTGCTGGGGAGCTGTTGCCATTATCATACAGACAATCTAGTTTCACGGAAAAGGAAGTGAATCAAAAATTTCTCATCATATGGATAAGTGTGCGAGGCCGTGAGTGTGTGGATATTGGCGTATGGGTGGGAAATACGAAATCTATATTATGGTTATCGCGTGTTTCTTATTAATACATGGTATCGAGATCGGCGGTGATGCTGTCTTGCCTTGTTTTCTATTTTTCCCCTTGCTTCGCGAACGGAGGCTCACGCTGTTATAAGCAGGTGACTGTTTGCACCTGTAACATGTGAGCAGGTACCGGAATCCCATATTCCGTGCGTGTCCATGCTTTTTGGGAAAGATGAGCGGAGGCTAAGGTTCTGTACTTATGTACTATTATGCGCCTTCTGCGCCGCATCGGGGACTACTCGAGTAACCTCCCGTCAGCCCAAATAAGTCACAATAGTATATCCTGTAACCTTTCATTTCTTCCTTTCGCATGTGAAACGCCTACAAGTATGTGGAACCTCATAGACTATCACTCGAGTGAGTGGTAGCGAAAAGGTGGGGGTGGGTGTATGCTCGGCAGGTAGCGAGGGGCCAAGCATAAAACCCTTAACTTTTCGGACATAAGTGATGCACTAATCCGTCTCAACCGGGGTGAGGCTGGAATACTCGAGTAACGGGGAACTTAGTTCATTGGTAAACAGGTCTCCGCCATTGGTGATTCCAATTGGCAGCGAACCCTCTTTGAGTGAGAAACAGGTGTTGGCCCAGGGCGATTACCGGTGAATGTCGGTGCCCGCACCTGCGCGGTGCTGTGAAGTATGTGCGGCGCACTCGAGCACTTGAGGGGACAGAGCCTTCGTGCATGCAGTGATAGTACATCATGAGTGATCACTCGCGAGCTGTACTCAGGTAATTCGTATGCACTCGAGCACCGGTGCAGTAGCCAATCTCAAGTGGGCAGGCTGCCTCCTAGCGCCGGTAGAACTTGAGGGTCACCCTTCCCTCCTTGTCCACCCGCGGAGCTTCCTTCCAGAAAGGCATCCAAGACGTCAACAATGATTCTCTCCCGAGAGTTTACCCGAGCATTCCTGGTCGCTACATTGCGCCAATGCAGGGTTGCGTGAAGCCCTCCCACCCAATTAACACACCGATCGGGCCAGGATGTGTAGGCGGAGACCTTTCGCCAGGAAGGTACTTGTAGGTAGGCTATGATACCAGCTACTTTACCCACCATTACCAATTAGCTTAGAACCGCTGCTGTGCCTTACCAGCCTCAGGCATGATTGTGATTTCAGACGTGGAAGGGGGGGGGGCAAGGGGAGGAAGGCTTACGATTGAGACTACCGTCGGCTAAGAGGGTTAAACCCCTCCCTAAATGCAATGCTGGTACCGTACGGCGGATATGATAATTATTATTATTCGGTTTTCAATCTATTTCGCGATAAAGTGGAAGCAATTGACACCCGGGATGACGATACCAATGAACCGCGGCAGTTAAGTTAGTCCAAACGCACCCCCTAGCAAGTGGAGATCATGTGGTAATATTCAGAAGGGAAGGGAAAAAAAAAAAAAAAAAAAAAGCCGTGGGGGTTCGCAATCCTGTCACATATCGTGAAGTCGAGACATGCAGCCAGGATACCATACCCGTACTGCAAACCCCGAAATCATTAGGAGGGAGAATGAGTGAGTTGTTCCTCGAGTGTCCTCCCATCCACTGAAACCTGCGAAGGAAACAATTCTCACGGTCGGATGAGTTCCCCTCACACGAATTCCCCACTCCACTTCCTCCCGATCCGACAAACAGGTAGGCGCACAGACCACGCCAGTCTCTCTTGGACCAACTTTATGGCGTTCCAACTCCCCGGTTCTCAGGTTAATAAGCAAAAAAAACAACAGCCAACGTCAGAAGCATTCGGGAAATTGGGAAGATCTCCATTGGGGCAACGAAAAAAAGAAAGAGAGAGAAAGAGAGAAAATGAAAAAAGAAAAGGATGTCGATGAAGAATTATCGTCAAATATGATAAGTTATGGATAGCAAGCGCGTATCTTGGGCCCCACCACTTGCCAGCAACTCCGACATCTGTGATACTTACCCCCAGCACGTGGCGCTTCCAAAGTCTTGATTTCTGAAGGAACAAGTCCCCCGCCCGGTGTGCGGAGGTCGCACAATCCCGAATTATTGGGAGCGGTACTCGTTCGTCATGATGCTGTCCTCGAGCAGAGAAGGCGAGAACAGCAGCCGTATATCATACTTGTACATATTTTCCTTTTTCTTCTCTCTCTTATTTTTCCTTTTATGATAAGTTACCCCTCTCAACTCGACGGCGTTTGCGGGTGTAGGAGGGAAAAACCTTTTTTCTTCTTTTTTAACTCCTCCGATTGACCTCGTGAGCTAAAAACTTTCACTTTTTTTCTTCTGCAGCCGACCGCTAGTAACTTGGGGCCACACACTAAAAAAAAAAAAAGGTGAGTATGATACCGATACTGTATCCCCGAACATCCGTCCACCTACCGGTATTCTTTAGTCAAAGGGCTGAACTAATTATCACGATTGCCCTTTTCCTTCCCCCTCCCCCTCCCCCTCCCTCTCCAAGAATACTCGTGAAGGCCAGCCGATAACAAATCCCCCCTTCCAAAGTGGGAATAGAAATGAAAACTGAAATAAAACAAGTCAACACACCACATCAGGGGTGGGAAATCTCTCTCGCAAGATCCATTTACCGGTATGCGGTTTGAATCTTAACGGCTTATCGTACATTGTTTCGGCTATGTTGGGGGGCACGGTAGCCTTTTCCCAGGATATCCCACAAGATATCATACGGGGGAAATGAGGGAGGGGGGAAAAGAAGAAGAAAATAAAAATAAAAACCAAGGAAATATCATCATACCGCAGGATGTGCGCTGCGATGCAATAGTATACGCGTTCAGTTGATATATATGATACGCTGGCCAAGTTAATGCGACGGCGCCGACGAGGCCGACGAAGAGCTCACCGCAATGCTATAGGCTTGGAAAAGTTAGGTTGCGTACTGTGCAGCGGGAAAAATGCCAGAATTGGGTTTGTCGGGCTACAATAACTTTACCAATATTCCGACAGGGAGTTTCAAAAAGATTATAAAAAGATTACTACACACCAACCCTATCCTTTTCCTAAAAGTCGGATTGGAGCCAAGGGCAACCGAGCCAGTCAGAGTGTGAGGGCACAGAGACCTTTAAACCGCCACGCCTGTCCGAGTAAGCAGACAGCCAAGGGCAATTAAGCAGCTTTCCCCAGTGACTAGTGGTAGAATGGACTAATAACAAATTTCCTCAACTCTCATCTTGAAGATAAGAAATAGAGGTATCCAACTTTAGTGGTCCGTTGCGACGCATCTTTCTCGTACGAGAAGCCCTGCCTTGGCAGGTACATCCAGGTCTAACAGGTTCCCATCTCGCTCCTCCGCAAGCATAAAGGTATAAAAAATAAATAAAAATCCTGTGATAGTTTTTTTATTATTATCCCAAATGCCTATACGCAAAGGAAGGAACCTACTAATCTTTCCCCCGCAGCGATTTCATTGCAGACAGTCGAACAATGATGAGCTGAAGATCAATCCCGGTGCGTTTTGCCCACTGCAACCAGTCATTTCCAAGCGCTTAACCGGCAGAATCGAGTGATCTGCCGTGACCATTTGTGCTCTACCGAACCCTGCAGGACTCTGATGCATTGCCGCATGGGATGATAAGCCCTTAGAAACGCACAAAACGGAGACACCCGCAGCAAATCACCCAATCCCCAGCAGCAGATCTGACGTAGTTTCCTTGTTCTTTTTTTTCTTTTTTTCTTCTCCACTAACTGACACGTCCCAGCCCAAGCCCGTTACTGTAACCGCACGAGTAACTGTGTTGTATTCTGGTCACATGGACACTTGTGGGAAGATCAATGCAAGAGAGAGAAGGAGAGACAGAGAGAGAGGAGGAGAGGAAAAAGGCAAAGGCAACGATAAGCAACCACATGGAAAAAGGAAGGAAAATAAGATCTTCCCTTGCCTTACCTCACCTTACCTTACACCGCATCCCCCCTCCCTCCCCTCCTTTCCAACCCCACCGTTCGTGCCACAGCGGATCCAACCAAGCAAGCAAACTGGCTGATTCCAAAAATTGCGCATGCAACGTCCATCTGAGGATTGGTACATGTATGATACCGGTAGATCCACAGGAAGCTTTTCAGGCCGGGGTGAGTGAAGCCTAGGAAGGTGCAAACGACAGTGGAAGGGGGGGGGGAGTGATTACCATTGAAAACCCGGATCTCGGAAAAAAGTGGTTTTGGTTTCGAAGACCCAATCCACTTTGTTGAAGTGGAGTGGAAAAAAAAAAGGAAAAAAATTCTCGTGCCACAACGCCGATCAAAGGGATCGGACGTGATCGCCGTCCTCTTGCATAAAGTGTCGTCGAGGAATTTTTTTTCTATCTATATGTTTTTATTTATTTTTTCTCTTTTCTTTTCTGGAAAACACATTCGCAAAAGATCCGTTTTGCTCAGTTTAGTTATGTAAGATGCGGATATCGTATGGGATTTTCCGGGGTGGATTCCATGGGATGTAGACTATTGGTTGGAATTGACAAACGAAGGAGAGAGATGAAGGTGAAGATGGAGATGATGACGATATCGCTTGACGGTATTATACACTTTACGAGTACTGGAGGGTAGGTTATCCCCTTGCTTCGCCGTAAGGATTACAAGGAAGGAAAGGAAAGGGAAAAAAAAAAAGATTACCATTGAGCCCTTTTTTCTCGAAATTTGATCTCCACGGGTATTCCCCGCAGGCTCCGGGAATATACGGTACGGCGCAAGAAAGAACATTCTAACCTCATTTCACTTCACAGTTAAGTTACAGTACTAACTTACCGTAAATTTATCCCTGGGTGTTGTATATAGTGAGTGTACGTATGATACATGTCCGCAGAATTTGGGGACGAGGCAGTTCCAGTGCGAAATGGAATCCTCCCTCCCCCCCCGGTCAGCCAGGCTACCCTTAGGATACGGGGGTTTGGGGCCCTCCTTATTTACCTTCGTGCCGCGGTCCCCGAAATGACGGTGGCGAGGGTTCTATCGTATAAAATAGGCCGGAATCGGGCGGGTCGTGATAACTGTGGAGATATATATCCTGCAAGATTGACCAACCATGTTTGTCATGCCTGCTATGATTGTTGTTATATTATTACCAGATCTATGGCTTACGGTGAGAGGGGACAACCCACCGCATTTATTGAGAAAGTGGTCGTAAGGTGATGGTGGTGAGTGGGGGATTAAACACTCCGCAGCTCCAGCTTCCCGCTCGTCACCAAAAACACAGTAAGAGCGCTCAGGCAGAAGGGGTGAGCACAGCATGATACCATGGGATTCCCATACTGTGCTTCCGAAGGTGGGGAGCCCCATTTCCTTCTTTCCTTCCCAGAGCAAGTACCGCTACCGCTGCCCTCCCCAAGCGAGCTAGGGTTACCAGGACCCTGCGCTAGCACAAGTAGCAGTCGGTAAATATCATGAAGGGATCACTTTCCGGAACCAGGGTGCGACGGAGGATCGTGGGAGGGAGGGAGGTCTACTTCAGGACATTGGTACCGTAGTACCGGTGATTTCAAACGGGTCCCTTGTTGCGACAGCACCGAGTGAGTGAGCGAACGAGTGAGCGCCTGATCGCCGTGTCGCCCGGGGATGTTCACGATGCTCCAAGAAGCCGCGATCGAGTGTTTCGGAGGAGAGGAGAAAACACTTCTGTTAGGGTCTCTAACCACAACGATCCCCACGTGCCACAGTGCCATAGTCTACCCCGTTTCTTTTTTCTCCTTTTATCGCATACCGGTTATCCTTTTTCTTTCACTCCTGTTTTTCGGGCTCGCTTAGAACTGTCTCGCGTGGGCATCAATTGTTGAAGAGCAACAAGTTGCCTCGTTTCCGACGGAGTGGTTGAGTTGCCACACGGATTTCGAGGAACCCCCCCTTTCCCCTACTATGTGCTGTAGTTTATGATACATCTCTTCATCTCTTGCAGGCCACTCCTGGCTACCGTCAGAAATCGAATAATTGGTATTCGCGCTAAGACGTCCAAAATTCCCTCTCTTGGATAAGGGGTCTAAAGCACTGCGAAGACTGACCCACTCAGCCCCCCCCAAAAAAAACAAAAAGTGTTGGACCTTACCAGTAAAGGAAACTCTAACGTCCTAGCGCGAGTACCAATTATTCGAGTTCTGCCGGTGCTATGGTGTTGCTCCAGTACTCGAGCACACCGTGCCTTCCTCCTTTTGTATTTCCATGTTCCCGGGAGACCGTCATCCGAGGCTTGTTCTACGCTGTCCTACATAGTCTATGTCCCATCTGCCTGCCTGGGACTGTAGAGGGAATATCGCTTCGGAAATTGTAATAATAATAATGTCGGCGATGTATACCTTTCTTTCTCTAGGAATATGTTTGGGTACCGTGTCATACGAGTAGGATGGCTTCAGTTTGGCTGATGTATTGTGCTGTGCTCGAGTGTTTGGAGTTGGTTGCGCAAGGCAATACTCGAGTACTGTTAGTTGGTTGTTATACGGTATGTAGGCTATTGTACAGTACAGGTATAACTTTATGGGTATGGCAAGTCACGAAACGGTACCGTACTCTGATCCACTCATCGTGCAATTCTCATGAGAATGATCAAAAAAAAAAAAAAAAAAAAAAAGTTCCTTGATACCCTTGATTATATTTTTGACACTAGAAATATAAACTAGGTGTTCCACCGATGCTCGGCCGGTTAAGCTAAGAGCATATTCATATGATACAATAAACTTTGGTACCCAAAACAGACCCAACATAATCAGTACTCGCCATAAACACATGGCATAATTCAAGATCAGACCCAGATTGCGCCGTAGAGTTTGCAATGCTAGTAAGAAAATGACCGCAAACAAAAGTGAAGACCCAGAGAGAAACAGTAGAGGATACAGGATACAAAAGGGAATAATCTACAAAACGCTAAGCATGATTGGGTATCGCCGCGCTGGTCGACCCGCGAATAAGATCCTGGTGTACGGTGAACACTCAGACCGGGGAAAATGGTAATTGTAAGGACAACAAGAAATAGCATCCAATATTTAAAAATTACCCAGAAACTTCTTGTTCGCCGGTTCATGCACCACCTTTTTTTTTTTTTTGTATATTAACAGACTTTTTGTAGTCGTCGTCATTCTTTCTTGATTTTTGTTATTATTGATGGCAACCTCTCTCGTGGCGCTTCATGTTGCTCCGTACGCTGAAAGCCTTGCCGCATCCGTGGTGAGGGCATTTGAAGGGTTTCTCGCCAGTATGACTGTGACTGTGTATTCTCAGACTACTGGGTCTCGAAAATGCTTTGTTGCATGTCGGACAGATGTAACGATCTTGCGATTGCGGAAACGCAGCGTGTGAAGCGGGTGATGAATGGTGATGGTGATGCCAAGGATTTGATGCTGAAGGGGGGGGAACAGAAACAGGAATTAATAGTTGGTGGGGAGGTTGCGATGGTGCATGCTTACTGTATGCCATGGCAGGCTGGCTCTGAGGAGTGGATGGTGAATAAGAGTATTGAGGAAGATAGGACGTCTCAGGAGGCGACGGGTACTTTGACTGCGCAGGAGGGTAAGAATTTCGGTTCCCTCCTTGCGATGAAGTAGGGGAGTAGAAGTAAGAAGATGAAGGTGATGTCGATGACAGTGTGGGCGAATTATTACCCTCAAAAACTGAGTCAGGTCTCATAGGAGGGGTGGGAGGAAGAGTAGGCCCAGAACTATGAAGTGGCTGGCTCTGGTATTGAGGAGACCGTTGTTGCCTCTCCATTCTGTCCATTCCTATGATTCATGATGGCAGATTAGTATCACGGCTGGCTTCCAATCCCAATAACATAATGCTTACCATTTCCCCCTGGTTGGCCTCCATCGGCGAATACGAGCAGTGTTGAAATCGATGGTAGAGAACATTTATTGCTATCCTCTACTGGTGGTGATGGAGGAGGCGCGGGTGGGTGAGCGTATTCATGTGGACGATGTAGGTATGGAGCAGGAGACTGGTGATCTGAGAAATCAAGTCCATTACTCTGAGCAGACTGCGGGTAGTGGTTGTGGTGCCGCGACTGGTGGACAAGGCTGGGAAGATTCATTACGTGGATGAGTGGTAATGGATGTGAATTTGGGTGGTGGTAGATGGTAGGTGGTGGTGTTGAAGAGTGGTGGTGGTGGTAGCAGTTTTAAAGGCGAGAGAGGAAGGGGGAGTGTGACTGCGGGAGTGTTGAGACGAAAGATCCTCTAAGCGGGTTTGAGGTGATGAGGGATGGATATATGACGGTCTGCACGTGGAGAATGGTTGCCTCTTGAACCCAACCTCTCGGAAATGCGGGAAAATGTGGACTCAACGGTGACCTCTCAGAAAGGACGCCGTGGGGGTATTTATGGGACCGCCAATTCCTGGGTGAGGAAATCCAGGCGACGGGTGTGATTGTAAGTTCGGGATGGTGATGCGAGACCGAGGGGGCCAATCGTTAACGTCGGGTATTTGCCAGGGAAGGATCGAAGCGACACCCCTGGCTTCTTTCGAGCACAAATGTAAGGTAGCGGTAAAGGATGGGCAGGAAGACGGGCTTGATTGACAGTATTATTATTATTTTTGCAGGGAAACCGAAGGGGGCCAGGGAAGGGGTACAGAGGGCTAATGGACGTAATGGGGGGACGGCCGCAAAATTCAGAATAATATATAACCCCCAAAAGGTTAATTGGGGTGGGGAACAAGAAAGCCCTTTTATTACTACCGGCTATTGTGCACGGTAGAGGAGCTACTCGTACTGGTACCCTACTACAATAGCGCTGAGAGTACTAGGTGCTATGACCTTGCACCTGTACGAGTTTGGCAGGGTGGAGGGGATTGCGATATGCGTGGTACGGTACGGTACAAATATTTGTCTACGAGGGGAGAAACGGTAGTGGGGCGGGCGATAAAGAATAGAGGTGTATATTGTGGGATCCCGGACTGTTGGGAACGGGAAGAAAAAAGGTAGAAAGGCTAGCTGTCCAGGTACTCATATGATATGAATTATAGGGAAAGGGTTTTATGTGAGCGGCGACGGCGCTACAGTATGGGATAGCTGAAGGAGTACCAGGCTATGGAGTAGGAGGAGTAAGGGAGAGAGGGTGGTGATACCGGGAGACAGGCGTGGAGAATATGTGAGAGGATGCCAGGAGATAGGCGGAGGGAAAGAAGAAGGAACATCATCAGACCGGTACTATGATACCGTACCATAGTGCCACAGCCAAGTAATGTGGCCTGAATACTTTTGGAGGCGAGGCAACAAGGGGGGAAACGAAAGGGACGACGGAGTAAAAGTGGAGTGGATTTCCAACTGGGGAGTTCGTCGGTGATGGGCCGGAACCGCCACTGGTCGAGATTCACCGGGAGCATGGGGGTCGCAGGGCAGGCATAAGGTGCAGGAAATATGGGATGGGATGGGTGCAGAACGGTGAAGAACGGTGAGGGAGGACCTGAGTACTACGCAATAATGTTACCCACTATTCCATGTCCCTTCACCGCCAGCTTATAGCTCGTGCAACCTAAATCCCTGATTCGCCCAAGGCTTAACCATCGCGAAGAGAAGTTTGGAAACAGAGATGCCTGCCTTCTGTTGGGTGAGCTTTAGGACTGAATTGGGCACCCTGTGAGCTACCGTCGCAGCATGTGTGGGCACTAATTTAGATGCCTAGGCTCCAGCTCTATGGTATGCATAGGAACATGGCATACTGGTAAAACAAAAAGTGTAGTGTGTGACAGAGATGATGGTTATGTCGACTAAGAAGAAGAAGGGCGAAACAAAAGATCCACCGATTCTCGAAATCGCCTCCAAATTGCAATTCCTTTACAACAGTAGCACAGCAAACCGAAGTAAGAAGCAGTGTGAGCAAATGATTCTCGGCAATACGAACCTGTGTTGGGGACTGGGACCATCCATTTTTACCCCATTTTTTTCTCTTTCCTCTCTCGTCTGTTTTCCTTTCTTTTTGCTCTGCAAATCTCCTGCGGAGTCGAAAGCGAGAGTGAGGGTTAGAGCGCTTTGCCATGTGGAAAAAGAAAAATACAAAGGTCTCGAGGGTGTGTGGAAAATTCGGGATTGGTTTTCGATTTGGCAGGGAACAGGGACCTGTACTCAAGATGCTCAATGCGCGCGGCAGCCATATCATAGCAACATAGGGTTGCTGGAACATCGAGCACCGCTCCAGCCCAGTCCGTCAAGCATTCCACCTGCCCACGGCTCTATACCGCACGCAGTAGGTATGGGATTTGGCTCTACAAAACAGAAGCGGTTCCCCGAGCCGCTCAACTTGGCCTGACCGTTTTATTCCTTTCAGGTTTCATCTAGCTGGCTTAGTTGAGCAAGGGATCTTCAGCGATGAATGATGGTTGAAGTAATCCCACGACACCCGTACAGTACAGTACTCGTACAGCGTCTTCGAAACTACCAGACCAGACTACCGTCTCGCACAGGGTTAATTTGCAACATGTGTGACACAGTGCGGTCACGGAATGGCCGAACTCTGCCCTCAAACAGACCCAACGTTGACCATCTTCAACATGACCCCGTATCAATAACGCCTCCGACCGAGGTGCGGGATGCGCATGGGAGGAATACCGGCAGGACGGGATACCGGTGGCTCACACACTCTCTCCTCAAGCCTTTTTCTCACCCCTTTCCCAATCCAATCTTGGGATGATTGGAATACATTTTAGTCACGATAAACCACGGAAAGTGCTGAATCCGGCCTCGTGTCGTCGTGTTGTGGTTCATATTAGTCTACCGTATTTCTCGACCCACTCATGCTTGGCTCTCATGAATTGCGATCGAGCCAGCCGCACCGGTCGCAAGATGGGGGGGGGGAAAGGAGGAGGGCGAAAAAAAAAAGAAAAACCATCATACAAATGCAGTAACAAAATAAGGATCGAGGGAGAAAGAGTCCACGAGAGAAAAAGTAAACAAGATTATTAAAGAACAAAAGTAGAGCTATCATAAAAAAAGAATTTGCTACCGTGATCACAATGGGGTCGTGTGGACTCGTGGCTCCCGTAGCCACGGTATTCTATTGGACCCTCGTTCAGCGACGCTGCGAGAACGATCATTGCTGACGATGATGAGCAGCAGGGGATAGCGGTCAGGGGTCTCGCTGTGGATCCTTGGAGAAGAGGCGTTAACCTTACTCCTCCTGAACAGTCAGAGTTTCAGGAAATGGAAGAAAGGACCAATTGGCAGGGCCCGTACGGTATTTTACCGTGATTGCCCATCTAAACAGAGGGTCGGGACTGTTCTTGGGGATATTTGTGCAAGGATTCCCCGATAATCCTCCACGCACGGTTCCAAGGGTGAGATGGGGGCGAAACACTGCGCAGATCGCCTTCCAAGAGCGGCTTTCCTGGCCGGGACGAGGATGTATGAAAATGTGACGATGGTGTCCCACAGGTCGGGAACGCAATAAATGGGATGGGCGGAGGCTTACACTGCCTTTTCCTGTTGGTGGCTAACCCGATTATGATGTACCCGGCGCCCTGCGCATTGCGCTGTCGTCCAACCGCCATTCTTGGGAGCCTCTTCACACCGCGAGTTCGCACTCTCTACGTGATGATTTTCCCTTTGGCTTCTGGAAGGTCGGTCAAGTGACCTTGACGATACCAGTTAAGCCCCCTCCCTCTGGAGAGCCTGAAGGACGCGGTGAGATGGTAATAAAAAAAAAAATAAAAAAAAAAGTATGTATGTATGTCGCTCCCTCCAGTGCAGGAGAGAGGTGAAAAAACCAAGCAGTATGATGAAGAGGAGCAGCAAAGCAGGCAGCAAGTTTTGTTTTTTACTCCGCTTTCCACCTGATTTCCCACCATACGCATCGTTCACAGGATGTATCGCACAGTCATTTCTCCTCTTGTCCCCCGTTCCCTTATTTCATAACCGTATTTCATTTTTCTTCGTTCCCCTCTCTCTCTATTCCCCTACAATTACGCACCTCGCGCATAAATTGAGTAAATATCGTACTCGAGTAGAGACGATTCTCGCGCACTTTGTGATTGATCACTTTTTTCCCCTTGTCTCTCCTATTTCCCAACCCACGACAACAAAGACATTGCCTCCTCACCAGCACCGCACCACGATAATGATCTGTATCATGCTCCCTCTTCCCCCTCCGTCGATCTACAACCACACGGCCCGTCACAGCTTGTGCGGCAACGTGGTCGGAAGCGAAGTAGACCGAATCTAACCTTCAATGCTCGAGTACCGGTACCAAACTTTTCACCTGAGCGCGCACCACCGTGCTCAAGTCTCAGCAGGGTCAGGTCACAATCAATTTAGCTTGTTACAGGTTAAGCGAGATGGCGCTGGCTCGGCAGTTGGGTTATGATGCTGTGGGCTTGCCCATGGACAATATTCCTTTTTTCCTCAAGGTGGGAAAAAAGAAAGTAAAGGAAAAAGAAAAACGGAGAAAAGAACTCACCCTTCAACAGAGAAAAAAAAATTACCGGTATGATAGAACGATTGGAATCTTTTCTTTGCAAATAAGTGAGTTTTATTTATCTGTTTGTTTTTTGCCGGTTACCGAAGCATGCACATCAGATGATTCCAGGTCTTTTTCCCTGGTTCTGTTTTGACAGAAAAGTTCAATGGGTGTCCAGTTTTGGATACCGACACGAAAGCGTCGGACTTTTATGGGGAAATTTTTGTCGTCCGGAGACTGCGGAGTGCAGAATTCGTATGGGGACATTCCTTTTGGGCGAAACGCAAAGCACCGCAGGAAGTGGAAAAGAGACGAGAATAGAACGCACAAGGAAAAAGCAACGCGCACCCACAAAAGGTGAATTGAGGGTGTGGTCTGTTACTTGTAGACAAGGACAGATTTATGCGGCGATTTGCAGGGGCCGAACGGGTAGTCGAGTGGATCCTCTCGGGTGAGAGTTGCCTATCACAGCTGGTGGATCCCGAGGTCAGGGAACCCCCATTTGATTGGTGGTGGTGACCCACACAGCAGGGGGAGGAGGCTCGGAAGTGCCACAATAATTCGGATTCCAGTGCCGCAGTTGCCCGTTCCGTTCGCATTGAACCCCAGATGTGGTCGGCAACGTGCGCCGTCCTGGGCCCAATTCACGGAAAAGGTTTCTTGAGTGATCGTGGGTGATCGCAGGTGAATGGTCGGTCTCGCGTGTGCATGGACTCTTTATCGGCTGGGGATCTAGTGCGCCATGACCGATCCTCTGCTTCTGGCAAGAAAGTAGCAAGAGCTACAAAACCCTTTTTGAGCCGGAGATGGTAGGTAAAATGGCCCAATTTTTACTATGATAGTCCGGTCGAATTTTTTCCCCATCGAGCATACCCTGATTCCCCTTGGGAAGAAGCTGGGTAGAAGACCAATAGAACAAGCCAACAACCAGAATGGGAGGTCCACACCCTTTTCCGGAACCCTGTTGGTGTGGGTCTGCAAATCTTACAGTCCCACGAGTTGGAAGTTCCCTCGCAAAGCTCTGCCGAAGCGTCATCTACATCATGCAGCCTAGCGTGTGGAATCAACCGACGAAACTCAGTAATTGGAAATGATCCAATCAGCTCCCGATTAGGATCGATGGCTCAACTCCACAAGGCGTTTCCCCCGAAATGAAACTAACGCAAACGGGCACCTGTCAACCTGTCAATATATCGAATATTCTCCGACAACGCGGCTCACCAGAAAAGAAATGCGAAACTCAGCAAAAAGCATGGAAAGCGCTCGGGCACTCACGATACCGGTATTGGAGGATCCCCTCTCCTTTCATGGAGCGCCCCTCATGGTCTCTGTGTCTTTTTTTTTTCCCATCCGGCCGCTTGTGGGCGCCCGCTACGCTCTATGCCATGTCCAACGGTTTTATTGATCCAAAGTTGTCCCTCTGGTGTTGGTACGAGTACTCGAGCACCGGTGTTACACTTGTCCTAGGCGAGGGGTACCCGAAGGCAGGAAGGGGTATATTTTGTATTGGCGCTCAGATACGCACAGATTCTTCCCTGTTTTCGGGCACGGTACTTACCTGGGACAAGTACCGGTACTAGTATACAGTGCCCGCATTATCTGGTTAAACTCGAAATGGCGTTAGAGTACTGGTAGTCAGATAGAGTGTGGCTCAATAGGCGAGATTTGCCCCATAGAGTTAGATTTTGACGATAATTTGCCACAGGATGCTGCTTCTACTTGTACCAGAGTCCATAAACTTTCGAGGGAAAGAGTTTCCTAAAGAGGTATGCTCTCACTTCCCCGCAGTACTGTATTGGGCTGTGATTTACTTGACTGCTTTAACACCATTTCGAGTTTAGCCACAAGTACTAGGGTAGATTATGAATTCATGGTACGGAGCAGGGGTGGTGCCAGGTGTTTTAAGGCGGCACTTTGGTACACACACTGCAACCGAAGCAACATTTCAACAGAAAAATATGTGTTATGGTGCAGAACCTCTTAAACTAAACCCTTTACCAAGGTTCCTCTCATCTCAAGTTGATGGTGTTTTTGGCTACAACATCCCTAGAAAAGAAATAAAATATTAAATAGTAGACCAATATATCCTCTAGATATGGGTAACAAAATTTTCAGTATTTAAGGAGTTACTTATCACACTACAACCAGCCTTTAGGAGTGTTTAGTTTCATAGTTTTGCTTGATTGATCTTCCTGGTCCAAAGAGAAATCATTATTCTAATGATGTTTTATTTGAAGCGTACTACATCTACTGAGACATTACTAGTGCGGTGTACCATGAATTCATGATATACCCTAGTACTGTACGTGTACTAGTACTGGTATGATATGATACCGGCACGGTATGATAATCCTCAACCCTACCATACCCTACCGGTACCATATCAGCACCCCTTCCTGCTCCCAGCTCTCTGAAAGTGGATACTAGCAATACCGGTAGGGAAGTTTTCCCCAAGCCAGCCCGCCATTGAACTGTGCTTAATTTTAAGCAAAGTGGGACCATGATACTCGGGAGTTTTCTTGTGATTTCGCCAGGAACAATACAACTGAATTGTGCAAGCGATCCAATGCCAGGCCCGAAATGACTGCCGTGCTCTGTGGACAAAGGAGGCATCCAATTATACTACTACAGATCCTTTTGCTTAACACCACGTCACACAGCCTGTGAGAATTGATGAATGAACGGATGGATGAATCAATCAATGTATAGAGATGTACACGCTGATATATAGATGTGTGGGCAGAAAATACGTGAGCAAAAAAAACGGCCTCTTTTGATAATGTTGTGAACAATGATGTAAACGAAGCCAGTTTGAGCTATTCAAACTATGAACTGTTCATAACACTGCGAGGTTGAGTCATTTCATGATTCACGGCAGGGGAAAAGGGCAGCACTATTACTATGACGATAATTTTGTTTGCAAGCATAGATACGCGCGGATTATTGGCCATATATATCTTTCTAATCCCTAAGTTCGGGTTTCTTCTCGTCCGGGACGAGTATGATATAATAGCATAACCGCGAGGCCCCCACCCGGGGTTCACTACGGTACCGGAGCCTGATCGACGCCGCACTCGGCAGGCAGTCAGTCTTCACGCTCGAAGCAAACAAAACAGACCATTTAAAACGGAGATAGCATGCCCTTCCCCTAAAAAGGGGGAGGGGGGGGGGGAGGGTCGAGGTGTCCTTTTTTCTTTTTCCCCCCCCCTTCACGATGACAATCATCATCCCTTTCCGGTGTTATCATTTCCGATTTAACCGACTCACTCACGGAGCCTATCGGCATTCGACCGTAAAGGGAAAAAGTGGTGGTGCGGCGCATCCTGTTCCAGGAACTGCAACGTGGGACAAAGCATCATGAGTCTGGAGAGCGAGACTTCCGATGGGTAACAGGTTACTGAAAGGGAGTATGCCAGCTATGATACCGGTACTCGCGTGGGTGCACAAAGTGTACTGTACTGTACCCTGTAGAGTGCGGGACACCAATCTTCGCAAGGTATCATATATCTCACTTGGTTCACTCATCATTTCCCTTCGCACAGGAAGCCTGCCCCCCTCGACCCAAGTCGTGGTAGGGGACACCATATTATCATAACATCGCATCGTGATGGCGGATCGCTCACGATACTTGCACGATAAACTCGTGGTGTCAAAGGCGTTTTTTTTTTTTTTTTAAAAAAAAAAAAGAAAAAAGAAAAAAAAACAATCCGCTATTGCGGTCCGTCTTTAAAAACGCCCCGAAGTACTAGTGCTGGTACACTGTTCAATAGAAGCGAGATTTGACCAACGGACAAAGATGAGAAACCAAATCCTTACAGAATCGCAGGCACCGGTAACATGAGCCTCAGCAGAGTTTCCGCCCCCCTACCTACCCACCTACCAACTCGAGCACCGGTACTCGAGTACCGTACTCCACGCACGAGTAGAGTACTCGTACTTGTACATATGGGTGGGGAGATCTATGAGCTCGCATGGCCATCCGTACCCCTGTCCCCGTGTCATCTCACTGGGCTGGAAATTTCAAATTCCAATTAGACTGCGCCGCTCTCTCTGGTCGTGGCTCGAAAAGGTTATTGATAGGATAGTTACTGTATTGCGGGTATTATCGCCATCCTTTCCCATATCAGCTCGGGTGGGGTCTTCCCCCTCCTCCCCAATTTACTTGAAATCGGGGCGAATTTACTAAACGAGAAAAGGGTGAAAACGATGAACGTTTGTTATTATTGCTTGTTGACGCTGTTGTGAGACGGGGCCAGGATCTCTGGAGGAGGGTTTCTATTACCGGTATATCATATCATACTGTGCTGTACGAGTGTCTATGATACCGGCGCGGGTAACGATTAATAAGGGTACGGTGTTCTGGGTGTGGTATGATAGGGTAGAGTACCGGTACCGGTGAAGCCGTGCCAACCTTGGGGGGAGGGGAGGGGAAAAGGGGGCTGGACTGGACCGGGCTGCTCCTGGGATGATACAAGGTACGAGTTATGATACCGTACCAACAGCTGTTTCTATTTTATTTTTATTGGGAAATTGTGCATCATGGTGAGAAGATGAGGATGCCCACTGTATCGGCAACCTCTAGGCACGGCGCGGTGCCGGTAGGGGTATGGGGTGGTGCCGGCACAATAACTGGAACGCGCGCAGAGGAAGGCCCGCGCTTCGCATTCACACTACCACACCGAACCATCGTAAGTTACCTGGCGTCTCCACACCGTATCTTTTTCCAAATACCAACTACTACAGCTGTCAAATCACATACGGTAGTCTAGCACAGACCTCTGACGAAATTTGTTCAACGTTCGCTTATTCTTGCTTGCTGCGGCCACCGCGAACCCCCAAAAACTCGTCCCCCCCACATTCGCTAGGTGATTTTCGCAAGCCTTCTCAAGCACCGCTTTTATCGGTGATCTCTGCATACCGCATGATGGAGCGTTGAGACGGGTTTATTGATTTGTGTACGGGTGAGGGTTGACCCGACCTTCCTCCATTTTTTTTCTTCTTCTTCTCTCTGTCTACTCGAGGTGCGGTTGGGGGCGGTAGACGAGTGAATACACTTGTACGAGTGCCGGTATGAATCGGTGAATAAAATAAATGAATAAATGCGAGGAAAAGGGACATGTACGAGTACCGGCAGAGGGGAAAAAAAAAATAGGAATATGAGACTCGCATAAAGACCCACCAGCACTCTTTTCTATGATCACAAAGAAAAAGAAAAGGAGAGAGGAAAAAGAAAAAAAGAAAAAAAAGGGCTACATAATATTATAATATTTTAGTTGATAATTCATACTTCTCTCGTACCGGTAGTATGTGCGCTGGAAGCGTCCTTCGGCTGCGCCGCAGTGTCTCTGGAGATATGTAGGTCTATATCGGAATTTGGACGAGGAGAGGGAGAGGTCGAGATGGCTCCGCTGGCATTCGCAAACCCCAGGCTATCCGATGGCCACACGGGTCTCTGCAGCCTAGCGAGGGAGTAATTCGGACTACCGACCCTGGAGACGGGCTCGTCTTCTTCACGTTCCCAAGCCGCCGACCCCATATACGAATTTCGTGAGAAGACCGATCTCGCCGGGCCTTCGTACTCGTCGTCAATTTTGGGGCACCTGCGGATGTGGTTGACGCTGAAGGACGAAGGGGTTGGGCCCGTAGCGGACAACTGCTGTGAGCGACGCGCCGTTGGGAGATCTAGTGCCCGTTTCTCGATATGGCCCAGGTACTTCTCTCTTGTCGGGTTCATGCTTTGTGGCCTGATTTGGGTCCCTCGCGGAGCAATTTTGAGATACGTGGCATAGAGGTTTACCAGAGCGAAGGTGATGGCTACGACCACTGTGGACCCTTGGATCACAATGACGACAATTCCAAGGATTGTAGCTATGATTCTCTATATGATTGCGTTCCCCCGCCGGTCAGACACTTGCCGGAAAACGTGCGGACAAGGGTATATATGGGTGCTTACGTTCAGCTTAGGAGTTGCTAAGACCACGCATAGGATCGCAAGGGTGGAGATCCTCATGATTGGGAGCATGTAAGCAGTGAACACATTCAATCTGCAAAGGACATACAGGTAGACGTATGAGTAAATTTCAAACGAGCAAAAAAGGAATGCGTGAGGAGGGGTGCCACCACGAACCTAGTGCTTTCGAAGGGCATCATGTAAGCTAGAACAATGAAATATATTGTTTCGACGGTCAGTAACCCATGAACCTGGGCTTTCGGATTTCCAATCCCCCCCCCATGGAAGACCCCCCTCAAGATCTCGAAAAATAACAAGGGCCCAAAGGCCCACCATACCCGCCTCCGAAACCGAGAGGATAGCCATCCGAATCGACGAATGAACCCGAGGTTCTCATGAACCGAACCCCGTTCGCCACCCGTCTCGACAGACAACTTCCACCAGGGCATTATTATTTTCCTTCTAGTGCCATCAATGCTGCTACGGCGCGATACGACCATCCACGGAATGAAGCCAGCCTTAAATTGTGGATATATCACGAGGTTCATCCGATTAATCCTTACCCTCCCCCCATGCCAGCGAGTCCTATATGCGGCGAAAGCAGCCGTAGACAGCCCTACAATTAACAGGGTGAATACAAACGCGGCGACGGCAGATGGCCCCGCCTCATGCAAAGTGAACTGGAAGGTTGCCAGCGAAACTAGCGGGAAAGCAGCTATTAAGAACTATGGGCAGGTCAATATACCATACAGCCTTTTCCAGACATAATATATCATTTAAACTAGACTAGAGGGAGGCGGGGGAGGACAAACCACTTTGCAAAGCGTAGATTCTAGGTAATCCCACCAGTTCTCTCTGAATATCAGCAAGCGATTCTCCTTCATTATTCCTCCTTTGATCGAGGCGCCAATTGCTATTTTAAGTCCGATTATTGAGATAGCCACGGCTGCTAGCAATATCAGTGACCACAGGAACGACGTGATAAATGCATTTCTGACGATTACTCCGCTCATGGCCAAAGTAGCGGGGAATCCAGCAAGGTTACCAGGCTTCGGGAGCCCAGCTTTTTGGTGTTCTCCGAATCTGACATATCTTTTCGCCAGTGGATAGAGGTCGCGTGCCATTTCGAAGGAACCCTTGTCCGGTGCGAGGCTTCCATCAGCAAGCTTTGGCCCTCCCGTAAAGCGATTCAGTGATCGCTGCATAGCGTCCAGACTAATAATTCCCGCGGACCATGCAAAATTCGACCAGAAGGCCAGAAGCACGCTCGGGAAATTTACGCCAAGGGTGCCCGTGAGATATACAGAGTGAAAGCAAGAGAACAGAGTGTGCGCCGACAGAGAGTGCGCATACAGCCTTCTTGATGAAACGATCGAATCACCGCCGCTCATGGCAGTGATGAGCGATGCGATACCCACGCTCGCAGCCAAACCCCCCAGTGCCGGGGAAATGATTTTCGGGTGGGAGAAGCTATGCCCATTAGTGATCAGGGCGGTCACGCACGCAGTTTGGCTTTTTGTGCTGTTTGAGAAGATGCGTAGGTCTGCACGCCCCTCAAAGTCCGGGATTGTGAATGCGATTGCTATAGTAGGCTTCGTTATCAGATTTTGTCAAATGGATGCGCTATCTTGTCATTGCTTTCTGCTTTCTTCCTCTTCTTCGTCATAAATATTTCTTACCTGGAATTCCTGAGACTTCGTTCATCGACACTGGGACAGCGTGCGAAGCTGTAATGTTTACGCTGGAGGTCACAGGGCATAGGGAAGGGATATTAGTCCGACAAGGGTTGAATACCAAGTCAAACCGGCTCTCCCCATCTAACTGTTCGTCAGTTGATAGTTCTATTTGCGGTACTTGAATAAGGGTTTATCTTTGGATTTAGAAAAATATATATGTATATCAAACGTACAAGCTACAACGCTGAGATGAACTAGTGAAAGTCAGTATTTCTATGGGATGTATTACCATGCCCCAGCACAGCGCACTGGAATCAAATCTAAGAAAAGAGGGCAAAAGGGAGACTAACTCATCAGGCTCTCATTCACAAGAGTTGTGTACCCATTGATATTAAAACTAATCGTCATATTGTCCGAATAGTACGCTGCATCGAACCTAGTGATCTTGATCGCTGAATCCTCCATGCAGTCTCCATAATCTGCGGTGTATAGGGCGGGCTTTCGATCATCTCGAAGATCCCCCGGAGCGGCCATGATTTCCCCGTCGCCGGCGTTAAAGTTTATTCTCCTCTGGGCGCGGGCTCCAGAGATGAGTATCGAACAGACCCCGAATGCCCACCACCACCACCACCACCGAGATAGGGCCATCGGGGAACGAGCGGAGACAGGGGATTGATTCTGTACAACTCCCAGTAGATGTGTGGTGGAAGGGGGTTGTGCGGGCTTCCTCCGGGGGACGATATGACCTGGTCCGATCTAGACGAGAGCAATTGGTAGTTGATATTCATCTGCCCTGGTTTTTTTTTCTTTTTTTTCCTCCTACCCCGCTGATTGTTGCGGTAGGATAGGAATGCCGTGTCAGTGAATGATAGCCCTGGGGCTTCGAAAAGAGCCCTTGGGTTATGATATGTAGTGTGGGTTTACATATCATACGTTGTCTAAAATAACGGGTAGTCCGTCGAGCGTCTTGGCAGCCAGCTGTTTATTTTCGGACTCGGTGGTGGAGAATAGAACTGCACTCGAGTACCGGTGGGGCGGAAGGGGGACTTTGTCGGTCGTTGATAGGATGGGCCCAAAGCCACAGAGAGGGGATTGGTTCAATACGAGTACAAGCATGTCCATACCGGTACCATCTAAACCCGTGACCCACCGGAACTCGAGCACCGGCAAAGTATCATAGAAACTCTTGGAATCCACCATCTTTACTGGTTATTGTTGCCGGCGAAAATCAGCCCTTCAACCCACAATAGGTTTAGTTTGGCGGGTCAACAAAATTGCGAATACCGATTAACGAGTTCCAACACATCCAGTGGACGGAACTTATCGTGACAGGAGATTAAACGTTAATTACCCTCTGGGGTTTTTGTCTTTGAATCTGAAGGATACAGGGTTTTTTTTACCACACGTTTTGCCAACCCCCATCTCCGGGAGCTCACACTACCCGGGACAAGCAGCACAGGACCCACACAGCTCTGCAGGATAACACAATCCCGTAGGATAATGATAGAATACCGTAGAGGCGTTCAGCCCCAGAGCCGAGAAAGCGCTTCTCGAGCGCCAAGTTCCGAGTGACTGCTGGACCACGTTACACAAACCAAGTTCACCAACTCGGGGGGCTTGCATAAATGCCTTTCAATCCGGGGGCGAACGCTTCCAATGAGCTGTTTACTTGTAGATCGAGAAAATTAGTGGTGATTGGTCGAATAGGGTTTGAGGCGGAAATCGAGGCATCATATTATTGTTGATCAGATAAATTTATCCTATGCCAATCTGGATTTTCACTTGCGGAAACAGAAAAAAAAAAGGAAAAACAAAAAAAAGGAAAAACAAAACAAAAACTTAACCGAATCACGGGCGCTCACTCGAGCCAGCGGCCAAGTAGACAGCTGAATCCTGGATTAACGCGTCTTCATGGTAGGACGGCACATTCATCATACGAGGGGGGCGAGGGGGGGAATCCTGGGAAGAGTTACTCATTGAAGATTGAGGGGATTATCACCTCCCTGGCGATTTGTGGGGTTTGGTGTGGTTAGCAACTTTTCAAAGGAAGGAATGGGCTCTCTGACCGCCAATTACGGTATCCGGCGCTATCGGTATTCGATAACGGTAGGTGAGAAACCATGTTTGCCGCAGATAGACCTGTAGGAGTGAAACAATGTCCGACAATCGACCAACCATCGTCGAGCCCAGCCGCAGTTGGAACCTAGGGATTGGAAGTCGCTGCATTCCCGGCTTGCTCTTTTGTCCTCGAAGCTGGCCGGGTTGGGGGGAGGGTCTGCATCTGCAAGGACCCAGAACAATCATAGCCGAGCACCGGTACCGCACGTCGTTGACTGAAGGGCCTCGCTTGATCGACCGGTCCGGGGGGAAACTCAACACCCCGATTGATATTCACGCGCTGTACTGTAATACCTACCGTCCTTTGTTGGCTGCGGGCACTTTTGTTCAAATGCTGAGTGAATTGTCTGATATCCCTTTTTGTGCTTTTGCTGTCTGTTGTTGCCTGGAGCTTGAGCACCATGTCAACACTGTCATACTTGAACTACAAGGGTAGCTGCGGTAGCTGTCCTCGAGTGCTTGCCATCCAAGTACCATGACTAACCAGTACGATCTCACAGTAACAATTAATTAACCCCGCCACCACCCCTTGAAGCAGGATCCATTTAGCCATCGTGCGGATCAGCGCGGGAAGGAGCAAATCATGGTGGGGGTGACCACCATCCGGCACCACCGCACTGTACGAGTAGTCTACGGTACCCTGCGGTGTGAACTTCAAGCGAGTGCTTCCGTACAATACATCTCAGGACTCGACCACCGGCATCGGTTTCGAGGAGTTACCGGTACTGAAGCGGATCGAAAACTTGAGCACAAACCCCCACGGTACGGTACCTACTCTTTTTTTTTTTTTTTTTTTTCCATTGCTCCGCCTTGGGCAGTCAGTCTATGGCACAGTAAATACTTGCACTTGTACGAGTACGGTTACATTCCCATCTTCCATTTCTATTTAGTAATCTCCAATTTTCAACTTCGGTCCAATGTCCGCCTATGATAAGCTGAAAGACTTGACAAAAGTACGAGTACAAGTTATGGTAACATATCCAGATCATAGGTTTCTTTTCTTTTCTTTTTTTTTTGATGTGCTTATGGTATTGTAAATTTCCTCAAGGAAAGGAACCTAAAGATCCTGGTGTTCTCTCTCTTTTTTTTCCTTTTTCCTTTTTCTTTCCGGATCCTGATTGTGCAATAACGTTCACTGGGGGCCATAACTCATACGGGATGATACTAGAGGTTTTCATTCTATAAAAGAAACTGCTATGATACCAGTCTGTGAATTCTCGGGTGCCAAGTGCTAACCAAACAGAGCTCTAGAAGAGAGAAAAAAGAGATTCGCGCCCCTTGGCCCAGCGAGTTTTTTTTCGCAACTTTCGGGAAATCTACAATAGAAAACCCCTCGGATTTAGGAGTACCGGGAAGGCCTAATAGTGGAATTATATACGGTATACGGATATCCGGAAGGTGATCCGGTTTGGCGCTCCCTACTAGGAGAGGAATATCCCCGGGGGGGGGGTATACGGTAAGGATATGGAAGAAAATGTATTCTAAAAAAACAGGGTATAAATGACAAAACTAATCACGCAGCTCTAGATTCCTGCTACCACCCCCGTCTCATCCTCATCTCCTAGATCCCCCAGAATCGCGACTTCTTAGGCTTGTCGCCCTTGACTTCGCTGCCTTCTGCTGCTGCTGCCATGGTGCTATCCGGAGATGGTTGCCTGAGGAACGTTGGTCTATCCGGTGCGTCGTGAGCTAGGCCACAAACCGTCCTGAAATCACCCGCGATTTCCCCCCTTCTCTTCACATGCTCTAAAAAGCCATTCAATGGACAACTCTCCCCCGGCCCACCCGCACAGCCTTCCAATGGCACAATGCCATCATTGACATTGAATCTGACGAATATCTCTTTTTCTGCGGACTTATTCTTCGCAGTGCACGACAGACGCTCGAAAATGATACGACCACCCATAGGGGTTATCTGCGATGTTTTCCATTTCCTATCCTCCATCATTTCATCAACAGGGAGATCCTGAGTGTCTTCGAAAATTCCAAATGCTGCCAACATAGGCACAATGTCTCCATCGTGGACGCTAACTCTTTGTTAGTTTGGGTACAAAGGCGGAAATTATGGGCAAGTATGAAACAGATTCAAACGCACAAACTAAAGTAAAGCGGACCGGCCGATTCAGGCCCTTCTGCGATCAAATTCGCCGTTGTGTTTAACCAAAGCCAACCCATTGCTTTCGCATACTTATTACCGGGTCTGAGACTGTTAGCTACTGAGTTCTTAATTTAGGGTTGATCACAGGGGGACAAACCCAGCCCTATAGTAATGGATTACGTCTCTCGCATATTCAAATTGGGACCATTCTTGCCTTGTAAAGACGTTGCACCATTTACTATTCCCTAGCACAGTGATCTCGAAACCACACATCTCCTGCATGCTGTAGATCTCCGAATCTATGACAGTACGCTAGTAAGTAGGGTGTGCATAGGATAAGGTTCATAGCATATCGTGGGAAAATAATATACCAGAAAACTGCAACCCGGGGTTTTCTTTCTCAAGTCGCTGAGCGATAGCTGGAAGGTAAGTTGCACGGTATTTGTAGAGCATCTCGTAGCCGTAATCGTGGCCCAATTCCGGGTCCTCAACATAAGTCTTGCAGGTATCGCTGTATCTGCGTTAGAATTGATTCGATCACTCCACGCTATCCCTCACTCGAGCAGTGGTCGTAACGGTTCATAAGATGGGAAAAACTCACCCCGGGGTCAATGTATCTCCGGCTTTACTTTCATCCTCACTAATTATCTGAAGCTCCGTATGCCTGTTCTCGAGACCGAAAAATCCTGCGCCAAAGTACCTTGCCGTGTCGATTACCCTATCACACTCGCTGGCCCAGAACAAGGTATGGTTGTGAAGAACCTTTTCCCATAAATGCCGGTATCGGGTGCGAAGCTTGACTCCAGTAGTGAATGCTTCTAAAGTTCCCGAGTAAGGACCGGTAGTAGTGAGTTGCTCAAAATGTTTCTCGGGCGCTGTACGAGCATTAGAACGGTCCATCGTGTCTGTCCAACGTAATGTACCCACAAGGTGAACTCACAGTCCGTGAAATATTGCCAATCATTCAAGAAGGCAAGAGATCCTTTCAACTCAACACCCGAAGATCTTATTTTCTTTAGGAGTACGATCATTCCTAAACAAATAATCCGTAAGCCTTCAGTCCTTCATTGCAACCGCGTGTTGTGTTTTTACTTACGGGCACCGGCATTTTTTGTGGGAAATCGCTCGCCATGACGTGACATCTAGTGATAAGGATCCGGAATTAGAATGTAGAATCTTCCGAAGGGGTGCCATGTCGGGAGCCTCATTCGAAGCGGAGGAGAGCTCTACCATATGTGCCATATCAATTTCGCAATCATCTGGGACCCGAATCCCCCCCTTTACCACGCCGTCAACTTTTTCCACCCATGGCCCATTTCCTCCAAGATGGTAAAGTATATTCCATTCTCGGTTCTGGTCCGGGCAATTGGATGCACCCCGACAGGCAGTCTCCAACCCCAACCCCCAACCATGGTGATTTGTTTGGAGGTATGCTGGTAAAATTTGTTGCAAGGAGTTTGGCAACGAGTAGCTTGGCTGAGGGTTGAGTAGAAAGACAACAGATGCAAGCAGGCAAATCATAGCTGATATGGTGAATAGTAGCAACGACATCTGAATAGGTAAGTATCTAAATCGCTTGGGAAATATCGCGACTAGTTTGAAGTTGACATTCATTTTCTTTCCCATTCTAGGTCAGTTGGCGCTCCCCCAACCTCAGCCTTAGAACCACGGGGATTGGGTCCCCAATCCGGACTAGCTTTTGGATGACTAATCATATCCTGGTAGTGAGCCTCATTAGGGTCCTCACACGTGTCTTGAGCAGCTCGTTTTGTATTCGTACAATCAATATACCGTAGTAGAGGCACCGCGATCCGAGAAGCACCGCATGGTAACTAATTGTGGTCTACCGCCGCATGAAATAACATAGGAGGAAGGATCAACGAGCAGGCCAAACATAATCACTGTTTGCCAAGGCACTTTCAGTGTGCTGTTCGTGGGCCTCAACGACTCTACTAGTACCGGGGACAGTGACAGCGGAGACGGCCTGCAATGCTGCGACAGAATATTCGAAACACCGCCCTCTTTACTCTCGCTGCACAGTGGGCACTCCGGGCCGGGATTCCTCACATACGGCACCGTCACCCTGGAAGTTCTCGACTACCGGTATAGTGTACGAGTGGAAGTAAGCCGCAGGAGATCAAGAACCCAATTTCTAGGAGAGGAAAGGAAATATATTTAATTAAAGTTCCCAACCCCCCCCCTCCCCAAATGCTACTAGCCCTCGGAAGCGGTTCGCTAACCATCTCTTTCTATTGCTCGGAAGAAACAGGTTGGGATAAATGTTTACAATTTCCCTGGAGACATATCCGATAATAGCCATCTAAATGGATATCGTTCTGTTGTTTTCGATAGGTACCGTATTGTTCTTGGGGTATACAAGGAACGGTATGAGAACTTTACGGACGCGGCTGTGCCGTACTGATAATGCTTTCAATTTTACTGTAAGAGCTGACAAAGGAAAGCTAACATAGCAGAGTAGAACGCTGATGCTACATAGCTTATGAAACGTTTATTTGTTTGAGTCGGTGTCGTGGCCTTACCGGGGCGTCGGTGGTGTGAAAGAAGCACCGTATTGCTTCTGTGGTTCGGCCCTCTTTTTAAGGGCGTTCTGGTTTTAGCATGCTATCATAGAATTATTATAGCTAGTATGATACTAAATTTGGGCCGTAGGGTTGTAGCACTGGTATTGAGAGAAGTCCATAATATTATGCGATATGGTGGAGGGAAATCCCAACGATATAGCCTTGGACCGGGGATGTAATACGGCAGTCTGCATGTGCCAATATTTGAAATATATTGTCATTCTGTGCGGGTAGTATGGTCTCTACGGGTACCGTATTGAATTCCAGCAATGCTGAACTAGATTGCTTGGCACCGACAGGGGAGCTTTGAGGCTAGCGCCTGAGATGGGCGAAGGAGAACTTACCCGGACGAAGTTCGATAGTATCAGTGAACCTCATTTAAACAACAACCTCTAGAGCTCGGCCAGCGTTCTTGACCAATATGCTCGTCGACTACTCTGATAGCGAATCCGACTCAGGAGATCAAAAACCCGAACCACCCCCCCAAAGCCCCCCGGTCTCTAGAAAAACAGGACTGTCCGCCCTTCTTCCAAAGCCAAAAGAGTCACAGAAAACTGGTCAGGATGGCGACATTGTGGCTACTGGCCCAAGAAAGTTTATTGTTAACCTCCCGAAGCTCGATACGCAGGGCGACGATGCAGATGGCCCACCAGCGAAAAAGATACGGACTGGCGGAGGCGGTTCTGGATTAAGCGCAATGTTGCCTGCCCCAAAAAGATCAGGGGCTACAGTGAGGGTTGATCCCAAACCATCACCTTCTCCGATTGAGCATGGGGCGGATAGAGTGTCAGAAGAAGCTGTGAAAGAGCAGGATCCAGCTAGCCGGACTATTGGCGGCACAACTATGTTCGTGCCACAGTCAGTATCTAGAAAACCTATTCAACCAGCAAGCGCATTCAAGAAGTCGTCGGGGACTGGAGCAGTGAAGCCCAGAAGCCAAGTGCCCACCAAAGTTTCCCTATTTGGAGCAGGTGAGTCTGGTAATATACTATATCGTCTGTTAGTGGAGGCTTACTGTTTCCGAAACTAGGAACAAACTCTTCTACGTCAAATAAGTCAAATAAAAAGACTTTGCCTACCGGAGAATATAAGCCTATAATGGTTTCTGCAGCAAAACCAGTCAGGCTGTGGGATGCGGATGGCAATGGAGGAGACCCTTATAGCGTTGGAGATGATGTCTTGGTAATAGCTACCGATGGGGAGGCTTCCTACCAAGCTTTGACTGATCATGGCGATGCACCTGAGGACCTTGACGCAATCGCTCGGCAGGCAGGATTGGATGATTCTGCTGTAAGTGCCTTACTCTCGCCTGCACTCTGCCAGGTTCTGACAAAAACCAGATGCGCCAGCTCTATGGTCGTCGTGGTCGACAGGATGCGCCAATCAACATATCTACATTTAGTGTTGATGAGGAGTATAATAATAATGAATTGAAGCGGTCGCTGGGGCTAATGGAAGAGGCGAAGCCAGTCAGGAGTATTGCGCCAGGGAAACATCAATTGTCTTCTCTGCTCAATGGTAAGTTTGCACAGCGCACCCTCGAGAGACTCAAAGGATACGCATTTCTAACCTCGTGTATCGTAGCTGCGCAAGCGCAGAGGGGCGCATTGGAGGAAAGCTTTGCTCAGGGAAAAAGAAACAAAAGGGAGGCTGGCTCAAAATATGGATGGTAGCCAGCGGTGTAATATACGGGTCGGTTGCAAAAAAGTATTGTTTTTAAAGCTGTTGCTGTGAGAAGGGTGTGTAATGGAGACCCTTGTGTTGCGCTGATGTTTTTTACGCTTCACTTGTGCATCCTATGTGTGCAGCTCCTTGGATATCAGGTAGCTAGTGAATGAGCCGCGTACTATACCCTCTTACCTCCACACGCTACCCTTCGTTCATCGGATCTTTGACACCGTTGTTATTCATCTGTTCCATCCCATCCCATCCCCTTCCCTCTTACTATTTTCACCGTAAACCTTTACCGCTCCCTCACCCTTCCTCTCCCTATCCATCGCTGGATACTTCCGTGTCTAGCTCTTTATCCTCCTCTCCGGTTTGCTTCATTCCTTTCTTCACCGGAAAAATATATTTGCTTTAACGATTCCAAGTAATTTCTTCACTCCTGGATTTATTACAGCAGTTTGCACTAAACAAAACAAAAATGGCACCCATTGATGGTTCCTTTTTCCATCCTTTTAATCGTTGGCCCTTTCCCCCATGTCCAACTGGTAATGCGACTGCCTCCTCCCCTTCACCTCCTGTTTGCTCTTGCAAGAATTTTCTGGGGGATTCGTTTGGGGAATCTAGCTCTTCCATTGGACACCAGTGCTTAGCTGGATTTACCCCGCCTACTCCGCAGTCTAGTCAGGAAGCACTGGTTCCTAGTAGGACTGAACCTAATATGAACAAAAGTATCTTCGGGAGCTCTGTGGCTGCTGATACTCACCGTCTTGTATCTGTCACCGAAAGTCATGAAACACATCAGAATAATCCTTCTGGGAAGGAAGCTGCTAGAAGTTCTGATTTTGTTACGACTGCATTTTTTAAGAATGGGGGTGATATGGCGACCAGAGTCATCATCCCCGATCACCCTGAAATAAAGATCAGGAGCAGCCTGAAATCAAATGATCTTAGAGCTAGACCTCTACCGATGCTTGATCCCGTTGGACCCAAAACACCGCCGAAAAATATCTGGAGGCGTACCTCGTCAGCTGAACTTGCCAGTGGGCTATCTACAAATACTGGCTGGAACAATAATAAGAGCACCCGTCCAATTGATAAGCCCTGGAGGAGGCCTTCCGATTCTGAAGCACACTCTTCTCAAAAGCTTGCAACTGCTGGTGGTGCGGCCGGGGGCGTACCAACTATGGATGAGGGTATGCCCTCCTCGTCTCTGAACGTCGGGTCTGGAAGCGGCCTCAAAGAGAATATTTCCATCAGGAAGACTATTCTCGGTTGCTCGCAATGTGTATTCGAGCCAAAAATCAAGGTTGTTCCTTGCGGTTGCCTTATTTGTCTAGCCTGTGGAGGTAGATTCTGGGGAGCTGGTCGTTGTGCGGAAGGTATTTACTGTGGATGTGGTGAGGTAAGAATATCGCTTCTATATCGTCTAACTAGACACGGATCTGAGTAACGTCTGTTAGCTTATCTCATGCATGACCAACTTGGACTCCGCAAATCGCCAGCAACCGCAGAACTACCAGAGTTTCCCTCAGCCTACATTCAACCCCCTTCCCAAGTTTCCTACCGAGCTTGTTGCAGCTGGTACGCCGCTCTCGACTCCCATGCCTGCATTTGTGTCTAGCTGGCAAAACGGCCAGGCTACAGCGTTTTCATATGATACACCTGCGCCTTCTATCGCTGTCGATAGCCCTCTCTCTTTGCCTGTCGCTAGTGTTGATAGTCTTCGCAATTTCTTGCTTATGGATGCTGAAACTGCTATCCAAAATGCTCCGTTGGTGGAGCTGGGCAGGTATGGCGTGCCTCAGAATTGGGCATGTGTTAGAGTAGGCAACGTAGGTGCCGTTTGTTCCTTTAATAACGTTAAGCTAATGGACTGGGATAGATACCTTACAATGTGACAACATCAGAGCTCACTGAGTTCCTGGGGAAGAACTCCAATATCATTCCGGACAGTACAGAGAATGTTGGAGTTCATGTCATCATGGACAGGTCTACAGTAAGTGGATACCTGGTTTTGACTACCAAAATTGTTTGCTAATATATACATGTATATATACAGGGAAAAACTATGGACGCCTTTGTTGAATTCATGACTGCAAAGGATGCCTGGAAATGTGTTGCGCGACGCAAGAGCCGCGTTCTCGGGAACAGGCACCTCACGTTGGATGTTGTCGACCCGTCCGAGCTTATGAAAGAAATATTTCCGAGGGCAAAAGGGGTTCATTGGGATGGTGTTATTCCCCTTGTTTCTCATGATCCGGAATATGCCGGGAGAAACCCAGAGATATTGGGCAGAGAGGAGCTGGTATTAATTGTTAATCATGCAAGAACTCCTCACAGGGTTTGTATTTGTGTTCTCTCCTCACGAAAGAGCCATTGTGCTAATAGTGCGCCCACCAAGAGTCCGTTTAGTCGCAAATGCCTACAAAGGCCCTTCCAGTCTCTATTGTCGATTGTCTCAAAGTTCCCATGGTTTGCTGTGGATTTCTACACTATCGAACAGCGGGATTACATCTATCAAGCTCTTCTTTCTGCTGTCGAGATCTTGAAACGCCACATTAAGAGAGGGAAAGCTATGCCAAACCTGGATCAGGAGTTACTCAAGAGCCTTGTGAGGGTAGGAGCTATGTGTTCCGGATTCACTGATGTTCAGAGGCATGATTTGGTCAAAATAGCGGAATTCGGAGCTGAAGGTACCTACTTGGAGGAAGTTATGTCTGGCTTTCGCATATTTCGCGCTTTGGGGAGGAGGCCAGGTGCCGATCGTAAGATGCTGGAGGTTTGTACCCTCCATAAGAACCTCTAACTTCCCGATCTAAATTTGAGCCTAGTTTTATGCCCTAATCTTGCAGTTCGCTACCTACCCCTTCGCAGAGCTAGCAGCCAATCCTGAGGAGAGTGCAGAAGGGGCTGGGAACCCCGTTAGGGCTCAGATGACCATGGCTGAGGCTTCCGAATATGAATGGCAGGCTGTTGTCGGTGGTGTTAGGAGCGTCTTGCCTCCAAAGTTCTATCCGAGAGTTCGGAGCAACATTGGTTGGCGCGGAGGGTATCTTGCATAAATCTGCTATGGAGACCCATATGGCCAAAAGTTGGGTTTCTTTTTTCGGCATTTTCACTTGCTTTTTTCCTTCTTTTTCAATCAATCATCTATTCTTACAGTGGTTGTCATTGCGGAATATTAGTTGCACTTGTGATTTCTAATGTCGGCGCTTGATCGGTTCAAGGGGAAATACTGATGGGGGGAGGAGTTATGATAAAGTGCTTTAGAAGGTTTACACATGATCTGTGGAGATTGCATCATGTTTTCGATGGTTCTCAAGTAAACAGGAAAAGAGATACTCGTTGGTGATATTTTATTTATCACGACTCAATTGTAGCCGATTACTCCGCCATGATTCCGCGGAAATAGATAAAAAATTTATTCATTAGTTTTCCCGTGATACGTTTTATATTTACGTGACTGCTCTCGCCAACCACGTTCTCGTACATCTCTTATCAATTCCTTAGGCCCGTTTTCCCTTTACCATGAATACTTCTCTTTCCATCTGGATATCCTTCCCTGATCCACCACCGTGCCCGAGGAAGGTAATAGCCTTCCCACGCTCCCCGTTCGGCCCAACATCAACAAAGTCAACCTCGACCAATCCTGTACCCTCGAATACTTTCCTCATATCCTCTTGAGAGAAGCCACCATGTGCCACTGTGTCTTGCGCCTTTATCTCAGTAGCACGCTTCCCTTGGCCCCCGTGACCCGGGTGCTGGTGCCTCCCATGATGAGCATGTCCTCCGTGGTTTGTAATGTGATCAGAGGGTGGTGGGTGTGATTTGAAGTCTATAACCAACAGAACACCAGTATTGGGCTTCAAACGCTCAACTAGCCGCTTCGTAGCCAGTTGGACATCGCTGAAGTGATGAAATGCAAACCCACACACAATAACATCGAAATTATGGTATTCGGGATTCGACAGAGAGGGGTCAAGCTCGTCCGCGCAAAGATCGGCTACGACGGCGCCCATTTCTTCCTCGGGTATGCCTTGGTTATTAACCTAGACTCAAAACTTAGGACACAACAGCCGCCCAACGATAGATACTTGTGATGTCAAACCTTTTCGTTAAACTTCTCAACCATTTTTTCAGATATGTCCATCCCGATGATCTGTTTTGTATACGGTGCAATGATCTGGCTCCTCACATCAGCTTTAGGTCGTTCGGGCAATTTGACGGCGCCAACCCACCCGAGAGATCAATCCAGTCCCACATGCATAATCCAGCACACGAGTGGTGGCTTCGTCCCACTCCGCACCAGACCATTCCCGGCGAAGGAGTATGTTTTCCCCAATTATATTGGCAACATTTGAAGCTTCAGCTCGAGCGTCGTAATCGTCTGCATTATCGCTACTCGGGTTAGCTCGCGAGAGGAAGAATGAGAAGGGGGGGTTATGGATACTTGAAATACTGCTTGTTAACTTCTGCGCTGCCCTGTGCCATCGTTGGTTGAGTAGATGCTATTTTTTGTATCTATCGTAGTTCTGTCTTTGGCAAATAATACCCGTAGTGATTTTATGGTAAGGCCTTAAGAGGGCGAGAGGAGCTTATATTTAATATGTGCCATGCGCAAGCCTTGCCGGGAGGGCTCTCGGCCGACAACGGGAAGCTGATTGCCGGGGGGGTTTCCCTGGCATTCCGGAGCACACTTACCGAAACTCTGTGGGTTGGCGGGCTCATAATACGCTGGAAGGATCTACCGGTATTGTTGTGCTGTGCCCAAAGCAGTTGTGATGCGGTGCCGAGCCAGAGCCTACGGTACACCCCCCTATCAGAAAAAGGGTCCTCTCTATCATCATAATAATATTATTATCAATATTATCATTTTCTGAGAATGGGTCGTTTAAACACAAAACCGCTTCGCGCCATGTGGTTCTTCATGATGACTAAAGTATTTTACTTCCAGATCTCGCATAGGAGTAAGCGCTGACATGGCGCATAGATCAATCGCTAGTCGGGCGGTTTGAGTACGATACAGCATTCAGCAAAGCGATCGACTTGGGTTGCGGGGCTCACAATACCGTAGGCGCGTCATTGCCGACCTGGTGCGGAATACCGTTACGTAGGCAGTCCAGTGTAGGAGATATTACTTATAGGACAGGGCTTATCGATACGGGTACGATATTTGAGTCATAGGGCCGATTCTCTTCTCTTTTTGTGGCTTTTAGGGACCCTGGTGGGTGTCTGTCTCTGTTTTAGTAGAGCAGTATTCACAGTATTCACTCGTCTTTGCCAAGAATACCTCCGTGAGTCGAGTATTTGGTGATTTGATGAGGATTCCAGCAGCTGGCAGAGGCATTCTCACCAAATACAAGCGAGCACTGTACGGGGAACTTGAGATTTGATTGCCATCCCCTCATTCATTCGGGTGCTTTGCTATTTCGATGGCGAGCATATTACCGAGTGATACAAGGTGATGTTGCGCCAAGACTAACCAGGGCAAATACCCTACCACAGTCCCCGCCCCGCACCAACCGGAAATGCTCACACACAGGCAATCTTGAATTCCTTGGTGTTTAACGGAGAGCTATCCACAACCAACGCCCAGCGAACCGCACTTGTGCCCTTTGATACCAGTCCACAAACGCTCACTCCACAAAAAACAACAGACATGGCTGATACCGAATATGTGAGCTCTCCTTCCTCACTGCCCGGTGGGATTATGGATAGCTAATAGAAACTCTAGGACGCCGTCGAGGCCGCTGGTATGAATTCACGGGGAGGCATAGATTGACAAAGATACACGGAGACTGATATGAGCGGTATATAGAGAAGAAGAAGGCCAGAACCTTCCGCAAATTTTCCTACCGCGGAGTCGACCTCGACCAGTTCTGTTCCCCAGACCTTCGAAACAACATTCAGCATCGACTAATGAGATTATTTATAGGCTCCTCGATCTTTCCTCCGAAGAGCTCCGGGACCTCGTTCACGCCCGTGCTCGTAGAAGGTTCAACCGTGGACTTAAACGCAAGCCAATGGGCTTGATCAAGAAGCTCCGCAAGGCCAAGAAGGAGGCCAAACCGAACGAGAAGCCCGACCTTGTCAAGACTCATCTTCGTGATATGATCATCGTCCCCGAAATGATCGGATCGGTCATTGGTATCTACTCTGGAAAGGATTTCAACCAGGTTGAAATTAAGCCGGAAATGGTTGGACACTACTTGGGGGAATTCTCTATCACCTAGTACGTTTACCCACGCATATTATGGCCCTTTTGCGTCAAATAATGAGACTCCGCTGTGTTATCATTGCAGTGCTCATGATTGAAATTGGTTGAATGCTAACTTCGTACAGCAAGCCTGTCAAGCACGGTCGCCCGGGTATCGGTGCAACACACTCCTCAAGGTTTATCCCGCTTAAGTAAACGATTTCTTTCTTTCTTTGCGTTGGGAAATGGTGGGGACCGGATGGCGTCATGACAGGGAAATTTTCTGTGTTGTGTGTATATGAAATAAAAAAATTTATTGGGCTACCAAAAGGTTTAATAGACATGGGAGGTCCTCACACAACAAGGTCTGTTGCGGAAATACGATGTTTTTCATTCATCCTGCTTAACAGCTTTTTTCCCTTGAAATCCAAATTTCCGGTTCCGGTTCTGGGCTCTTGTATCGGTTCTGTGGCATCCGGCCGAGGGAATCAACAGGGGCAGGTGGTGTGAAATAATTATTTATACCTTATAATATTATTTCATCACTAGGACACACTGGTATTTAAATGTCACGGTTGCTGGCGCAGATTTCATTTTTTCTCACCCATGGAGCTGAGAGGAAGGTATGCGGCACAGCACTGTACAGCACTGCACCATGACCCACGAGCTTTGCCATGATGGCAAATTGACTTTGGGTTGCGGGTATGTGGACAGTTGGCAACCGGAGGACGATGACTGTGTATCTACTTGTGGACAAGTTACTCGAGTACAGTACCTGCGAACCCCAAAGATACCTAGACACATTAGCGCCAAGGATCTATACTTGGTGGACTTGGCGTTAAAGTGCTAGGATACTTTTGAGGTTTGGGAGTACGATAGTAGTACCGTAGTCAATCAGCAGAGATGGAGATGCCTTTTCCGTTAAAATGTCAAGTATTTCCTCCTTTGCATCATGAAGAGGAAGACAGCGAAAAAAATGTCTGTTAAGCTGAGATAAATAGAAAGTAGGATCCAAGTACGCTGGCCTTGCTTGGAGAGGCAATTCCAGCATCATACGAGTAGAGTGAGGTCCAATTATTCCAGTTCTTATCAATCGGGTATTACCGCTGCGCCACCTGCGTTCAAATGAGGTCAGTGCCGATGCGGCAGGTACTGTACCAGTAGACAACAGGAACAATTCTGGCCAGTTTTCAAGGCACGGGATTGCGCGCCTTTGCTGGGCGCGCCCAAGAACACTCGCGGCTCAATCCTATTTATTTGCAGCAAAAGGAGAAAGCCACCTAGCTATACGAGTACTCGAGTACAAGTACCATCACAATCTATCGTGGTGCTGTCCGTTCTCCTATTCCCATCCAACGTAGCTAAGGCTTGTGTACCAGAATTCTCTCGCTCTGGTCAACGACGCGTCTCCCTTTCCGAGCTCATATCTTTTCTCTCCTTTTTTATCGAAGACTTGTACCTCCATCTCATTCGAAATACGGAAATTGTGCTCGTCAGGTTTGTACTTGTGTTCCCATGTTAGTTCTGTAATACTTTGGGGCTTACAAAATCATATGCATAGTGAAACGTCACGGTTCTCGTCAATAACGATAATTTGTACAAAATGGCTGGTGTTAAGATTAGCGAGGTACAAAATAATGGCGTTGTGGAAGAGAAGCTGGTAACTCTTGACTCGACCACTCCTACTGATTCTACCTCTAAATACGACCATTATACGTTCCCAACCACGAATTCCGAGTCAGGGGAGGGGCACCCAGGTCATACAACCCCCGAACAAGACGCGAAGGTCTTGGAGCTGCGGAATGGTTTGGAAAAAGAAGGATATACCGAGAGGCTGGATACCCTCAGCATGGTTAGTCGGTTTTATTCCATCATGCACAAAGAGGGAATGACTAACCCCGTACCTAGCTTCGATTCTTGAGGGCTCGGAAGTTTGACGTCAACTTAGCCAAGGCCATGTTTGTCGAGTGCGAGAACTGGCGGAAGGAGTTCAAGGTTGACGAGATTGTCAAGGACTTTGTCTACACCGAGAAGCCCGAAGTCTTCAAATACTACCCCCAATACTACCACAAGACCGACAAAGTAGGTTCTTTCATTCCTCTTGGGTTATCCAGAGTTACTAAACTTAGGATAGGACGGCCGTCCAGTCTACATCGAGCAATTGGGAAAGATTGACCTCACTGCAATGTATAAGATCACTACTGCGGAGCGTATGCTTGAAAATCTTGTGCTGGAATATGAACGTCTAGCCGACCCTCGTTTGCCCGCCTGCTCCCGCAAAGCAGGAAAACTCCTTGAGACCTGTTGCACCGTAATGGACCTCAAGGGGGTTGGTATCACAAGCATCAGCTCTGTTTATAATTATGTCAAGTCTGCTTCCGCAATTTCCCAGAACTACTATCCAGAGAGACTCGGTAGACTTTATCTCATTAATGCCCCATGGGGATTTTCCGGGGCATTCAAAGTCATCAAGGCCTTTTTGGACCCAGTTACCGTATGTCGCACCCTCCCCATAAAACCTTGCACCCAATCGTTCTAAAACTTTTTTAGGTGGGAAAAATCCATATATTGGGCTCTGGCTACCAACCTGAGCTTCTAAAGCAGATTCCGAGTGAGAATCTTCCCACGCAGTTCGGTGGTACATGCAGCTGTTCTGGTGGTTGCGAGCTTAGCGATGCTGGGCCGTGGCAGGAAAAACAGTACTTGGGTTCTGAGAAATAGATTGGTGCAATTATTGTTTCAATTTTTTGTTTTTTCCGAGAGAGTATTGGCAGGCTGCCGTTTTTAATACAAGGTTTCCAGTGGTTTCTTAAACTGTACTATAAAGGAGGGAGTGTCGATTCCAGATGACTTTAGAAGAAAGGAGAATAATAGAGTTGCTTTTGGCCGAGAATAAGGTATTCATCTTTGACAGCAATCTTAGAGAATTTTACACGATGTACAATACTTTGCTAAAGGGTCTTATGATTGAGAGCTATACTGACAATACCCAGTGATCACCTACGAATACGGTGCTGAAACGCTCCGCCAAGAGTGCCGGGGATTTTATTGCAGGATTGCCTGGCGATACCATACTACTACACTATACTCGTGACTCCCGAGTTCAAAGCCGGGCACGGTGTCCTGAACGGGGATTATCACAAACCACAAAAATCCGATCATGGTATCATACCCCTCCGTTATATAATTACCAACGCACGCTGCCTGTCCAAATCCTATCCCACCCCCAGCCAAACCTACCTTTTTCCCCTCATCCTTGATATTCCGATCACGAGTATTCCTTTAAAACATGGGAAGGGGGTCTTATCATTACCGACCAGCTGATCGACACACAATCTCCATTCCCCCGAGATTGCGATCCGGGTGGGGGGAGGGGAATCAGACTCATCTAGTTATAGTTATTCATCTGGGTGTGAGGTCCACCATTTGATCTGAAAAAAAAAAAAAAACGTGGGAGTAATCTCCGAGTACTTTACAGGCAGGCTCTCGGATTGCGGAATTGTCTGAATTGGTTTTATGTCGGTGTGGTCGGCCATTCATCCCTGATCACTCTTTCTCTCTTTCTTTTGCTAGGGGGTGATTGATCGTCTTGCAAGCTTTGGCTTACCATGGATATATATCATAGCTTTTACGCCGTTGCGTGTGTCGATAAGGCAATAAGGTTAACAGCTATGATACTATGTGTGGATATGGAGTTTTTTTATTTTTTACGCTCTCCGGTCAAAAGAGATTCGAGCTTTGTTTTTTATTTTTATTTTTAGAAAAATAGGATCTGCGTGGAAGACGTCGTTTATGTGTATATATAATATTATTACAGCGTAAGGAACAAGGTCATAGTGTACCACCAAAGGTTAGTGGCGAGTAAACCGTTGCCGGTAACAAAAAGCTATTTATAAGATCCACTCGGAGCAGGTAATTGCAAAGAGGGCTTCCATCACATATAAGAAACCTGTCAGAGAAAAAGTTCACAAGACGAAATCCCCCAGAACGAGGTTTGCGAGATGGCGGTGAGTTATTTCGATATCATATACTTGTATTGTTCCTGATATACTATAATATAATAATATAACAATATTATAATATATTTTTATGGGTCAGCGGGTCTAAATACTTCCCCTGTCCCGGGCCTCTGCCGCATGCTTATGATCCCCCCATGTATCCGGAGTCACGATCATCCGTGATATAGTAATACCTAGCATGGAGTTGAATCAGGGGTTTATCATTATTATTTGCACAAATTCTCCTATTCGTTCTGGATCACCCTTCCCCCGTTAGCCAATACAGCATAAGCAGTGCCCAATGATCGGGATGACAATTTTTTCTCGGGAAAACCGAGTATGCACGCACGACCCGGAGATGATTTAAGGAAGGGTAGGTATCAGATCCCCTTCCCTGGTAAACCCCTCCAAAGCCATGCCGCTTGAAGGGCGAAATAATAAAAGAAGGCCAAAGGGGATTGATCGATTGCTGTTTTTTCCATCTCCCGATAACTACAAGTCCTTGACCATACGATAGCTTTTGAAGCTATTATTATCCATGACATAGCAAACTCACTTCGTGGCCATGCTGACATATACCTGATACTTGTAGTGCCCGAACGTTCCTGGACCATTAACTTGTCCATTATTATTATTATTATTATTATTATTTGGTGGGGGGAAAAGCTGGGATCAATTACTGGTTTCCTAGGGAGAGGCATAGATCGTTGAGAGGGAGCCGTGTCATCTCCCGCGGTGCGGGATGGATAATGAGGAGACAGCGATTGTATTCACGGTGATATCTCGTCGGGAACGTTCTCCCTCGATTCGGTACTGGCGGCTCACGGAGGACTTGGGTGTGTTCGTTAGCCCACGCATGCTATGATACCCTGCCGGAAAATAGACTTTTTTTAAAAAATAAAAATAAAATAATAATACATGCGAGTAAGATCTTAGTATGGTAGGTCCTTTGCTACTATCCCTCACTTTAACTTCATCAGAATTGGGTACATTATCTATTATTATCCAGTGAATGAGATGTCCACGCCAGCACGGGGAGAGGGAACCCCCCCCCCGAAATGGAAGAGATGTATACATATCGAGATGCAAGGTCTCCGCTATCTATTCCCCATCGATTACACTGCAAGACTACGAGAGCAAATACACCCCCATGTAGAGGGATTATACGTTATCGTTATTATTGCCCGCTAACCGGCACCCACAAAACGCCCATGTTTAAAATGAGCATTGCTGAAGAAAGCCAGGCCTGGCCGAGTGTGGAAGACAGGATTTGGAACGGGGCAGGGTCACTCTACATCGATGAGTATATAAACACAGTACTGTAATATCTTTGACTTGTTCAGGGAATTGTGCCCGAAGTCGTGTGTCGTGAGATAACTCGCATCACCTGGGGATGGAAGTAGTTCGTAATAAATCCTATCGAGTGACCGACTGTGACCTTGGTTATGATGTTATCATCCAGTGTAGCGCTCCGGAGCGAGTCTTGAGGAGACTGCAGCATAGGGATCGGAAAAATAGCGGAGCGTGCATATGTTGAGGTTGCAAATATTTAGCGATTGCACTTGAGGGTTGATACTATCATACACTGGAGGTGCCCGTGTCGGTTTGCCCAGCGTGGAGATGTGGCGTGGAGATGGGGTATCATAGGTCTGGTTTCATAGGCGACTAGATGCTATCGAGTGTTTGACAAGGATAGGCTGTGTGTCTTGCTGGGTATTCAGTAGTCGTGGAAACACTGGGGACTGGTATTTTCCCATGGGCCAAAATAGTGTGGGGGCACGGTATCAAAATGGGGAGGGAGGGGCAGGGATATGGTCGATCGCACGGTACGGCCTTCTGCACACCGTAATATGCGGACGTCTCGACTAAGGGCGCAGGTGCATCTACCCCCAGTAGATACGGTATGGAATGAATAATGCAAAGCAGAAACTTTAATAATTGATCTTAATCTACATAATGCTAGCGCCATTTAGCAGAACCCATTGACATGTGTTGACATTCTAACCATATCCCATTCATTATTTGCCCTGAATTGTTTGGTATACGAGAGACATAACGTGTTTGCACAATCGGGAATCAAAACTCAACCTAGCACCCTTACATCAAACGGATAGAATAAAGGGAGAAAAAACGTGCGAGCAAGGAAATAAAAGAGAAGAGGAAATATGAGGAAATTTCTATTGCTTCAGAGCATTCTGTTCCTTCCGCCTCTTCTCGTTCTCTCTGTGCATCTTTTTAAAGAAAGCACTTGACTGGCCTTTACCTTTGAGTTCCTTGTTCTTGCTCCTGTTGTACTCGATGTACGCCATGTCATCTCCACCTGCTAGTTCCGAAAGCCTCCCGGTGGTTCTCCGGTACCTCGCGCCCTTCCTACCCGCGTTATAAGACAGTTTGGCCCCGTCAAAGTCGTCGCCTTCCTGCTGCCCGGCTTCCGAGTTCTGCAACATCACCTCCGCGAGAAGCTCTTTCCTCTCGGCAACGGTAGCGTACGCAAGGCCCGGTAACTGTTCAATTCCTTGAAGGTGCGTGATGACTTTGAAAGCGTAACCCTGGTCGACTAGGAAGGCCTGGCGCTTGCTCGAGTAGTACATTTCCGCCGTGTCCTTTGAGACGAGAGAATAGAAGAAGGCGTTGAAACCTTCGTCGTTCCTGCGCTTTGCTCTGAGGATTCGCCCCAGCCTCTGCGCCTCCTGTCTCCGGGAACCATAGTGGGAGGAGATTTGGATCAGGCAGGTAGCCTCTGGAAGGTCAAGGGAGGTATCACCGATTTTTGAAAGAAAGATTGTATTTACCTGATCGTTTAGTTGGAAGTTCTCGAGAATGCGAAGACGCTCCTGTTGGGGTGTATCGCCGTAAATGAAGGCTTTATTGAGCTTCAAAGCGTAAGCTCTCAGAGCATAAACGTTATCCGAGAATACAATGATTTTATCGCCTCGTTTTTCGTGGTAATCTATGAGGAATTGTGTTGCTTGGAACCTGGTATAGACGTGATTAGTGAAGGCTTTAAAAAGAACCCGTGGAGGGAGAGTGGCTTACTTCCGAGGGTTCATGATATAATGAAGGACCTTCTTGCGGGCATCCGGTTCCTGGAGATACTCAGAGTAGAACTCTGGAGTCATTGGACACCATACTTCCGCGCATTGGACTTTAGCGATGTGACCCTGTTCCGCAAGCTCCATCCAATTTGCCTCATAAAGTTTCGGACCGATCAGAAAGTTCAAATCGGTGATTTTATCGTCCTCACGTAGAAGAGTGGCTGTGAGTCCTAACTTCGAATGCGTAGCGATAGAATGAACTACTTTACGGAAAATTTGGGCTGGCACTACGTGCACTTCATCAAGAATGAGAAGACCCCATTCCCGTGATTGGAGAAAGTCCATCATCTTTTGAGAGTCGTGCGAGCGGTTACGGGAGTTAGTTACCATAGAGTAGGTAGATACAATGATACCGGCATCGCCACGGAACTTCTCTTTGTTTTCGGAAGTGAATATAGCAATAGCATCTGGGTTTATATTTGTCCATTTGATGAATTCTTGTCGCCACTGTACAACGCTCATCGAGGATGTGGCCAGCACAACCACGCTCTTCTTAATAGTGCACGCAGCGGTAATCCCAACTAGAGTCTTTCCGGCCCCACAAGGCAGCACGATGATGCCACTCTTTGCGCGCCCGTTGCCAAACATTTTACTCAAGCTCTTCTCCTGGTATGAGCGGATCTGTGCTTGGGGTTTGAGATCCATATCCAAGTTGGCATTCTTCCTGTCATTGCGGAAGTCGTATTCTTCTAACACAGGGTATCCTAGATCCAAGCATTGCTTCTGTACGGTCTCCACATCATTCGCCGGAATCTCAAACGAATGAACGGCATCCTCGTCTTCCTCATCCTCTCCCTCCTCATCCTCTCCCAGCCCAGTAACCGAATTGAACAGATCTTCGACCGCGTCTCCCGCAACCTCAGCAGGTCTACCGCCTTGCGGGTTACTGACGCTCGCTGCGCCCGCAGCATTTCTAGTGCCGGGGATGACTAATGCCCCCATTTGTGGTGCCTTTTCCTTTGTAATGCCCGATCCACCTTCACTTTGAACCCTCAATGGTCCAATAACTGGATCCTGTAGTAGTCTCTGTAACATGGCTGGATCGGAGCTTTCTACAAAGTACCTGTTTTCCTTAAGGACCAATTTAACCTTCCCGTACGAGCTAGTGCACTTCTTGATAAAGTCGATAATCTTTGGGGGCACGGGGATTTTGGAAAGCCTGTCCATGACTGAGATAATATCGTTTGGGTCTAAACCCACAGAGACCGCCGCGTATAACGAGTGAGGTGTGAGTTTATACTCATGCAGGTAGGTTGGTCGTGACAAGGGCTCCGCAATCGTGGTCAAGAAATCTTGCGCCTGTCCTGCCAAGGGCGAGAAGCTCTCTAGCACAATAACCCCAGACTCCGGATTAATCCATAGTGGACGAGATTCATGATCCAATTTCATCTTTAGATAGCTAAAATCCTGCTTGCTGAATATGTAGGATACTGAATCTCTCTTAGCGATGACGTCGCTGCCTTTGGGAGCCAAATCTAAACTAAACGCGTTGACGGCCTCTGGGGGGGTTTGTTAGTCATTGCCTACAGAATAGAGAAAGACTGACTAGATATAGCTCGACCCTCTTCTATATTCTCTATCTCTTCATCGTCCGAGTACTCATCGCTGCTGTCCACATCGACTGCTGGAGTCGCTGGACGAGAGCGTTTCGTAGCCGCGGATGTAGTGGCAACAGCTGCAGCCCCTATGAATATTGTATTGTCAGCGAGTATTTCACGGCGGATGTAGAGATAAAAGAACCTCCTGTTGCACCGGCCTTGCGTTTTGGGGGCATGTTCTGCGTTTGTGGTAAAGATCTTGTGTTGGTATAGGTTAAGAGGGGAGAGCCGTTGAGGCTCATAGAACACCTCGTTGAGGTATGATATTAGCTTGTGAGTCAATGCAAGGCACCATATGACTAAGACTTTAGGGCGGCCTCTCCTGGCAGTGCAACCGCAGGGTAACTTTCGAGACATCTTTTCGGGTAATCGCCTTCGGATACCCGGTTGCCGCTAGGATTATTCCGGTGCCAAGCCAGGGTGAGGCGGGTGGTCTGATATCAAACGGGCAACACTGAAGCAGCACTGGATCCTGACATCATTGATTTTGCCTCCAAACATTGGTCTTCAGACAAGAGCCCCAGAGTGCGGGACACCAAAGCCACCTACAGTTGAACACCACAGCCCGACAACATATCCTAAACCTTAGCCATGAACACAGTAAGTATAGAAATCCTCGGCTCTTTGAAATATTAAGAAAGACGGACTGAGAATGACGCACCAGGTAAAATCATTTTGGTATCCCCTCTCTCCCCGTCCCATAAATATGCGAGCAATAGCTAATATTTATAGGATTGGCTGGGGATCTCTTATCGTTGGTATGCTCTTCTTTTGCCTAGCCAAACCACACAACTGACAATTGCAAGCTGGCGGTGGGGCCTACTACTTCGCCAAACAACAAATCAACGCGGATCGACGAGAGAAGCACTTGAAACGCCAACAGTTACAGCAACAGCAATGTTTGGCCTGATCCACTACATGAGATGTGCCACTGCACTCACTGATCATTGCTAGATAACATGCTCTATCCTGAGAGCGATCCTGCTGGTCGTCCATCGGCCGAAAGCTCTAGCGACCCCGCTGCGACAAGACATACGCCACAGACAGAGGTCAATGAGAAGAGCAAATACGAGGCGTCAGCGGTGTATAAGAGGCCGGATGGTGATAGGTTTAGTTGATGCTCAGCCGGGAGGAATATGTCATGACAGTTCAATTTCATCCGGAGAATCAAATAACCATGTAACATATCATATATTTCGGTACAATTAGGAACCCTACAATCGCAGCTCCAACAAACAAACAAAATAGATAGGGGAGGATAACAATAATAATTAGATATCTCCCTATAACGCCAGTCGTTATCCCTATTCTATCCGCCCCTCCTCTGAATGCCTGATTCGCTTTCTATCGACAGCAGTGATAGAGACTCATATTTGATGCCGCGCTTCAATAAAACCCTTTCAGTACGAATACTTTAACCAGGAGGAGGGAGAAAGTACCTCTTATACCCACTTGATCTCCTTCCAGCAACAGCCGGTACTGCAAATGGCAGTGTAAACCCTGCCTACGATAACTTAGCTCCCTCACCGTCCCATCCCCGTAGCAAACATACCACAATATAGCTATAGACAGCAATAGCACTTGGTGACCTCCGATTAACCGCAACCGGCGGCCCGTGACGAGTGCTGAATCCCACAAACAAATACCTTCTGCGGGGCGACCTATGGAGAAAACGGGGGAGCATTTCCGGAAAAAGATATCTCTCTATAACACGACTCGGTGAATGCGATAGAAATTATTGTACAAGTGTCGTCCTATATTATCAAATTATTTAGGCGATGCCTCCTGCCTTTTATAAGCCCCTTTTACACCGAAACACCTTACGATACCGGTACGAGGGTGGCATGTTGAATTTAACATTCTGTTGGCGGGCATGTAAGCATCGGATGATTTCCCAAAACCTATTTTCTTTCATGGTGGAATCCCTGCGTTTTGGGCGAGAGGGATAAGGCGTGCAGCATGGACGCTTCCAGATTATAGAATGGCTTGGGGAGCTGGACTCGAGTTTCTGGCCTTATAGTACCGGTAAGTTGGGTGATTTCTGTCGGTGTTTTTTTTTTTTTTTTTTTTGCACGGGAGAAAGAGCTCTCTGGAGGGGGTGAATCTTTGCTAGGTTATTGGGGGCTCACGTCCATAAATTATCACTCGGAAATTGGTCACAAGGTGGGGGGCGTGGTTCGTTACGTGAAAGAGGGATTGGCATCGTAGACTAGTAGATACTCGTGCCAAGGTTGTGGCATGCCGCCACAACCGGGGGCACTCTAGAGAGTGCCTGACAGCTCAACGGTATTTTACGGCTCAACGGCACTTTGTGGCTCACCATAGTAACTCTGTGGCTCAACGGTACTTTGTGGCTCAACAGCACTTTTTAACTCAATAGCACTTCGTGGCTCAACAGCACTTTGTAACTCAATGGCATTTTGTAACTCAATAGCACTTTGTAACTCAATGGCATTTTGTAACTCAATAGTACTTTGTAGCTCAATGGCAGTTTGCAACTCAAGACAACTGTATAAATTTAGATATTCAGAATGTTGAAATAATAGAGATACTTTTATGTTCCAGAGAGTTGATCTATACAGCAATCAATCATGCCTCTGCATTCAGCCTTGATTTTTCCGAGCTAGCAAGTTGAACCATATGCTGATATTGAGATTTGAATTCAAGCTACTGTTGCCTGTCTATGTACCAGTAATAACCAGTATCCAAACTTTGCTGAAGTTGCACGACAGTATGAAATACCTGTCAGGAGACTTTGAGCACGTTTTCAAGGCTGTCAGTTCCGCCAGGAGTGACCTGGAACAAATCATAAGCTCACCAAGGATCAAGAACTAGCTGTCTGCCAGTATCTTGATCGCTTAGATAAAGTTGGAACTAGTGCCTGTTTGCAAATAGTATCAAGCAGTGCAAATGCATTTCTCAAAAATGCATATACTGGCACCGGACCAGTACCTCTTGTCAGCACTCAGTGGGCTCTGAGGTTCCTAGATCGACAACCTCAATAATTCATCAGAAAACAACAAACTATCGATATAGATAGGAAGAATGCACATCAACCAGACAACATTCATGCATGATTTCAAAAGTATCTGGATGTCTGTCAAGCACATGAGATTCAATCCCAGGACCAGTACAACTTTGATGAAACTGATTTTCGTATTGGTGTTAGGTATGACCAATGGATTGTTACTTGAGATCCAACTCGGCAGGTATATCTTGGAAGCTCTATCACTCGCGAGCTAGTAACTATCTGTAAAACTATAAGTGGTAATAGAGCTGCGTCACCACTAATGATTATTGTACTTAGAGTGATCCATCAGGAGCCATGGTATACTACTACCAGTATACCAGATGACTACCTTATAGGTACATCAGAAATGGGATATAGTAATGATAATTTGACAATGAAGTGGGTTGTTTATTTTCAACAGTTCTCCTCCAAGCGTCAAGTGGGAACTTACTGACTTTTACTCCTTGATAGGTTTGGATCTTATTGTACCAAACCGTTTCTTAACTATTGTGATTCACATAAAATTATTGTTTTCTGTCTACCTCCTCATCCTAGTCACCTTCTTCAACCACTAGATGTAGTTGTCTTTCAGCCTTATAAATATTATCACTCAGAAGCGGTAGAGGCAGCAACTCGTATAGGCTGTGGAGACTTTGATAAATGTGAATTTCTTGATAGAATTGATTCTATCCATCAACAAACATTCAAGCTGACTACTATCCACTTAGCCTTTTGCACCACTAGTCTTATACTATACAATCCTGACCTTATTATTTCAAAACTTCGTAAGGTAACACCTGTATCCAATGAACCAACAACAATGGCAGGTGAATCTTCAACTGCGGGTGGCATTCTCCTTACACTTCTACAGCTGATAGGTCAAGGTAAAGAGCTACTGGAGCAGCCTGAGGTAAAGGATATATCCCTTGATATCCAGTAAAGACTTAAGAATGTTCTACAAGGAGGACTAGTCCTTGTTCAATTAGGTACTCTAGTGATGGAGCATTTGGAAAATACCTGTACTACTAAGGAGGCTAGATATACCTATAACAGAGTTCAGAATAGGAGGCAAATACAAACTGGGAGAGTAATTTATCCATTACAAGCACGCCAAATGGTGAAGAGTACTGGACGATTTTTTAAGTAATCAGAACATAGGTTACCCCAGAATCCGCAGGATGGGATAAGTAGAATGCCACATGTATAAGATACAGTTATCCACTTAACGATTGAAAGTATATATTAAATTTATCGTACATCATACTAGAAATTAACTACTATAGAATGAACTAGGAGGGGGTGTGTATGTACAGGGGCTAGGCGTGAAAATTATTGCTACCATTAACAGCAATACATCTAGCCATAATAGTAGGAAGTTTAGCGACTTCCTTATCAATTTCTTGAATTGTGATCTGGGCCCATTCCTCATATAAGATAGACTTCACCTGTGTTTGAGTAGTAATTCTCTCTACACCCCAGCGTGTTTGAATCCAGCTTTTCATTAGGGTCTATATTTGTTCTATAGGATTAAAATCAGGTGAGTTTGGAGGCCAATCAATCTTCGAAATTCCTTCCTTTTGTCGTTCCCAGGTAGTGTAATGTGATGAATGTGATGGAGCGTTATCCTCCATAAGAATAAAGTCTGGGTTGCGCTGTAGCTGAAGGCAACATTCAGGCCAAAGGAGAGGATGAGCAACTGCCTTGACATAGCACCAAGAATCTACCCCTTTCCCATCTCCCCTCTTATATCGTTCAATCTTATATTTCTTGCCACATCATGTTCAAGGAATTTGCTTTTTTGATACATTTGCTGACTTCTCGGCATGGTACTATAGTCTATAGGTAGCCTGTTCTGTAAGTTTTAGCTGCTTCCATTCATCTGAAGCCCTGCATGTATGATTAAGCTCATCTTCAATCATCCGGTTTGCTTCTAAAATTACTATAGTAGTAGTGGCTTCCTCCCTTTCCTCATATGTCTCCATGATTCATACATGAAAAGGACCCTTCCAGCCCTATCCTATCATCCCCCAGCACATAATAGATGCTCCTTGCTTCTTTATTACGCCAACACAGTCTTCATACTAGCACTCTGTCATATCTCGCCAAATAAGTTGTAGTTCAAATAAAGCGTCCATCTCAATTGACATCTCATCATTAAAACGATAGTTGCTCTACTCAATTTGCATCCAGGATCTCCTTTCCAAACAGTAGCTCAGTCTTCGAAGTTTATTTTCTGGCTTAAGAATAAACTTAAATTCTTCTCGGTAGGCCTTTATACCCCTCTGTCACGAATATGGCTTGGCAAGGAAAGGGTTTTCACATGATACATGGTTATGAGTCACAGGGATGTTATTGTTTCACACATATGACTCATTCGAGTCATATGATTTGTTATATGTGGGATTTGTGATGCTTTCGCACATGGCTCAAATATGAGTCATAGGAGTGCGCCTGGCAAGTCTGCCTTGCGAGTGTGCCTTGTGGATAGGCCTGGCGCATATGATTTATGTTTTGCATATGACTCAGTCGAGTCATATGACTTGTTTATTGCATTGTGATTGGTTTATGAGTTTTGCACATAACCTCGTTATGAGGTTATGGGTTTTGAACATGTGACAATCTTGGTCACATGACTAGTTTGTTATGATTTGATTTCGCACATGGGACCACTTTGGGTCACATGACTAGTTTGTTATGATTTGGTTTCGCATATGTAACCACTTTGGTTTACATGACTACGGGCGGGAAGAACACTATATAAGAAGGCCAATACGGCCGAGGAGGATAGGTTCTTCATGCTTTGTTCTAAGTACTTTTCCTACTTCTTGCACTCCGTGTCAGAAGTAAGCATAACCAATACTTTACCTTATTTCGCTTGTGATAAATACTTCATCCACTGTTACTTGTTTGTGTTTTTCGTTTTGGACTGTCAGTTAGATGTTGTTGTTCTCGCTTAGAAGATACTTCAGTATGAGATATCTGTGGCCTGGTCCCGGTAATCACTGAGTATAGTTTGGGCGAGAATGGCGTCTTCAACAGCCTCCTCCTCCACGGATTCTCCTCCCCCTTCGAGGATGTTGTCTCCCGTTCGGTTCGACTCCAACCCCT